AAATTATTAATTAAACTCGGTGGGATGTGCGGCACGCTGGCTGGGGCTCATTGATTTTGGGGTTGGTTTCTGACGCATTGAGGCTTTTTTGAGGATGAGCGGGCATAGGGTGCGAAATTGGACTTTAAAATCTCAGCTCATCGTTAGAGACCCCTACGCGAACGTTATGCTAAATAATTTATGGTTTTTGGTTTTTAATATGCTTTTGCATGACTACCAAACTTTATCTATAATTTGCCAGCCCGTCGCAACCGATTATATTACCTAATTACCTTTTACACCTTATTACATAACTTTTAGCAAAGAAGGCCGGTTTTGGGTCTTCTTTCCGAAAGTAAAGCTATCTTCTATACAGTAATATTTCCTACGTTTTATGACGCATGTATCATCGAGCAAAATACTGTACGATGCGTGATTAGACCCATTTTTTGGTGACATTTCCGTCCTAGCCCTAATTTCCAGCTGCTCCGCCACAAACGTTTCCTGCTCATCGGGGAGAATAGAAATTCCTGGTTCAGTGTTTCGTGGACATTATTATCCAATATCAACGTTTTCCCTTAGTTTTTCAGTTTGAAAAATTGATGGTTGCGAGACCCGTAGTCTCTGTCCCAATCCTCTTGATCCATAATCCGGACAAATCCATTACAATCCGGCCGGGCTGCGATTTAGCGCCTAACTGTTTTTTTATTGATTCAAGCATTACCACCTTTTGCAAAATTATTCGTCTGCCCGAACCGGGCGTTGGGGCTCGAATTTCTGATGGCCTGGTCGGACTGATAGAGTATTCAAAGATATTGCGTTCCCGGGAATTTGTTATTTTTATTTTTGGGCGAGAAGGGGGAAGCAGCTGAGACTTTATGGGGAAAGGTTCAAGTTCCGAGAGGATTTGATCTATGAAATAGCTTTTTGGGGAAGGTTATTTCCGGATCTAAGGAGGCGCTAGGGTTGCTTTCTGAAAGGAATTTCCCAGGAAGATTTTATCTAGGGCGTTGAACCTTCCTAAAAATTGGCGTTGCTATTAACTTTCTGAAATAGCAATTTTTTGATTATTCTGAAGCATTTAAAAACTTAATTAAATGTCACTCGAAAGGCCATCATCGCCCCCGCCACCCCCAAATGACTATTTCCTAACCATTTCCCATTTTTTTTGAATTCCGAAAAGTTGCGTCAGTATGAAAAAGAACTCGTGCTAAATGGCCAGACTTTCGCGGAGTTTTATTGATGACGAGCCCCCCAAGGGACATGAACTTTTTGAGGGCAACCGGAACACCCGGCCACCCCGGGTTCAGCAGTGTTTCTTTTCAATTAGTGGTCTGGTCGGTTGTTCGAACAGCGCTTCTATTCCGCTCAAATTACTCAGCACCAAAATTGGTTTTCAAGGAGCCTTTAACCACAAACTTCAGTCTTCAAAGTTCGCTTGTACGTTTGCAAAACTTGCAATTCGAGGAGCTATCAATAAACTAGTGTTCCGCCAACCCAAAGCACTCGTAAAGCGGATTTACAACTGACTGAAGAGTGCACAATCACCATTTTTACCCCTAGCTAGCATTTACTGAAACCGGTCGTTAAGATATTGCCGGACGACGCGCAGACCTTTCGTATCCCGCTGCCAAGAATTTTGATGCTTGCTGGTAATTTAGAGCATATTGATCAGTTTTGCGGGACATAGTAGATGTTTATAGATTGAAAATTAAGCCCCAATGCGAGTGGGCGTCCCAAAAACAAATCCTAAATTTATTCATTTGCACTGGGGTCTTCGGGGGCGTCGCCTTGTGATGTTCAGTATCTGTGGGCGGCTGTAGCGTAAATTCACATATGAATTTGAATTATCTTTGCACTATATAATCCTGTTCTTTCGAGCAAATCCCTTTGCGAAAAAATTCAGAAACAGTTTTTCTATGGGTTTAAATACTGTATCATTGTTTTGAAGGTGCAACCCTAAAGTCCTATGATTTCGGGATGCTACCTGTTTATTCACTTCGCCCCCGCCTTATTTCCAGCGACGCTGCGATTAGATTTTGGGGTGGGTTCGCCCCTAGCTGCCTTTCATCCAATGCGGAACGCAATAGTTCCAGCTGTTCAAAAATTTCCAGGAATAGCAGGCCTTTTATTACGGGTGCGCGCTTTCATTTCGGGAGCTAAATGAAATCATTTCCCGTTTAACCAGTTAGTTATTATGGCATCTAAAACTTGACACGCTCATGCTCATGCTTTTAGTAGATTAAAGGAAAGCCTTTCTTCCGTGAGTTTTGATGCTAATATGATCATTGCGTGACAGGCGGTCTCTCGTGCAATTTTTTAACATCCTGGTCGAAGATCCCATTTTTTCCTATCCCAGCACTTACTTTAGTACGACCAACGTTCGGATCTAAAAACTAGTTCGCTGGGCTGGTCTGACCCAGTTTAGTTTGGTTTGGGGAGTTCCCAATTTAGGGATGAGCCGCCGGGTCCCACAACTCTTTTCGTGGGGCCCAAAAACGTAGGCGGCCACGAGTTTATTCTAGTTCGAATTTTTCTGGGTGCCACCTGAAAATATGCATGTTCTTTGCTCGTTACCCCGGTCATAGAGGGAAAGGGAGAAGATTTAGGTTTACAGAGGCGGAAAGTAGGGGGGGGGGGGGGGGCATCTGACTGGTCGGACGGAGGAAGAGAAGGGGAGAAGGAGGCTATGTAGGGAATCAGATTGGGGAGTACGACTCTCGACCCTCTGGATGGGCCATTCCTCGGGCCTAAGAGTTCTTCTCATACCACACCCACCATGCCCCTCCACCCCTCTTTTCTTCCTTGTCAACGCCCCCCGTCTGACCCCTCTTCAACGCCTATTTTTGAGGATATTTCTTTCTAAAAATAGGGGCTATCTTCTGGTGGGCAAACGTTGTTTTATCATATGGGTTCTCGGGTGTCTTTTTCTGGTGCTGCGTCACGGAGGTCAAATTAGAGGGACAGGTTAGGCTCTCAATAAACTCTCCTTAAACATACTGTAGATTAAAATTGAGAGCACGTTTTAATCATATGCTTCAGCCGCTAATCAGGCATATTAGAAGCCTATTGATTATTTATTAAGTGAAGGGTTCCGGTAAATCCCATTAACGTGTATCGTTGGGAACCTATATCTACGGTATGTTCTTGCTAAATGGTTCGTAAAACCTAAAATTCATGATCTGGAATTTGATTACACACGATTATCACTCTGCCTGTTTTTTAAATTTTTCAATCTGTAACAGAAAATCGAAACCTTAAAATTTCCAAAAACACCAGACAAAAATCCGTCTTTTACACACTTCCACCTAATATTTTTATCCCGAAAACCCTATTATTTGACTCTCTTCCCCACCCTTTCAGCACTCAAACCGAAAAAAGTCGTATTTTCTAGGGCCTCCACCCTCACTTGCCCACCCCATAAATAACAAGAGAAGGGAGGCATCCAGTCAAAGCTCGCTTCTTCTTCTTCTTCTAAGCGACCACATGACAAAACAAATTCTGAACGTGATGGCTAGGGGCCAACAGCTAAACATTTTTTACTTAACCCCTAACCCAAAAGGTCAGAACATCATAACAAACTATTCTGTCAAAAACGGCACAACTTGTTGCTGGGCTAACCGACTTCTTGAAAAATAATGTTATCGTTTGTTCTTGGCTTTCTTTTACTTTCTTGTCCCGCCAATTCTGCAAGGCATTACGGAAATTACTCTTGTATTTTTCCAAAATCCGTAAGCTACAAAAAGTCCCAAACCATCCGCTCCGTTTCGTTTTTGTTTTCGGTATCCCCCCAAACCTCCAGACTAATTTCCGCTCCAAGAACATTCTCTGATCCGGCCCGTTCTTTTTCCAAAGCATCTCCGGGCTCTTCTTTAATCTAAAATATCATTACTTTTGGGTCTTGTTCCAAGAAACCTATTCTGGTACGTGTGAACTGTAATTAAGATTTTTGCACTCGTCGCGTGGCAGATGTATTTCGATTCCCGTAAAGCTGCTATCTAGCGACCAAGTTACTTCCATTTACGACGTAACTACTATAATCAAAACGCATGCCGCATCGGCCATTTATTTTTAACTTCGGTTTCCTAAAATACACTGGAAAACAGTCGTCAAAGTCAGTCATCCATGGCAGTCTTCCTTAAAAAGGGAGCGGACGGGTGATGACGACGCAGATATTGACTGGCTGCGTCGGGAAATCTGGGAGCACAAAATTTGCTCAAAAATGACTTCCGTCTACGAAGGGGGGAAGCCACAATGGGACCACAGTTTTTGGGTATCCTCCAATTTCCTGAGGGAATCGCCCATTTTGGGGCGTATTTGCGCCCCGCGGATATATTCAGAAATTTTTCCCAGCGGATTTTCTGATAATCTGTAGCGGAAAAGGAAAGAAATTAGGAGCTTTGTGGCTATATAAAGAGGGCTGGCTTTGGCTTTAAATCTCAATTTTTTGAGTATTTATGTTATGGTAGCTTCATTTCCTTTCCTTTCCAAAGGGTTTGTTTATTGACATTGTCTTCTTAATTCCCTTGAGTATCACTTTCGAAATTGTTGCTGTTCTAAAACCTGAACTTCCCCAAAACTACGAAGATCTTCTCCAATTACGTTCCCAGCAAATCTCAATTCCAGGGCATTTAGAAAAGGGGCTGTTCTCGGTTTATCCCCCCTAGATTATCCCAGCTTTCGAACCGGCCATCTAATCAAGTGGAGTGACAGCAGATTTGCTCCTGCGAATTCAAAAACGCCCAGGAAAAGGATGATATACCAGAATCCCTCCCTTCCAAACCACCAGAACCCGGGGGATTTTGCTGGATAGCAACACAGCTCACCTCCCATCTCTTCCATCTCTTCCCGTTTTCCAATTCCCCTTCCATGGCCATCATACTGCGGAAGATAATTATTCTCGGCATTGGGCCCGTTTTCGTTTTCAACTGTTTTCGTTCCACCACCCTCCCAGCCCCGGTCCCGTCATCTCCACAGTTATTCCCGCAATTTTTCAGTGGATTCCACAGCCATCTGCAGAAATGGGCAATGAAGGGTCGTCGTTGCTGAAGAAGCATCAAATTCTTCGCTTCACAAAGAGGTATGTTTGTCTTAACAGACTGTTACTACAAAAGTAGCGTTCATAAATCGAATTGAGGGCTAACGGCTTGCCTTCTATGCCAGTTAATTACAGGGTGGGAAAAGCTAGGAACCCGGAATTTACGCCATGCGTCAATTTTTGGTGCGCAAAATGTTAGATCCTGTGATTTAGCAATTTCTACGCAGATGGCTCGTCTATTTTGGAGTGTCTAGGGAAAATAGAAGTTCTGCCGCATTGTGGACATCAAGTTTCTAAATTCAGCTACTTGACGCTTTTTTAAAATTGACTTCCGTGCGGGTGTTTTCATGAACGTCAAAAGATAATCTTATAATTTACCTAGTTTCTAATAATTCATTACTAAAGGGACGAGAAACGTTGTCTCCCGGCACCCGCTTGGTCCCCAAACGAAGTGACCGGAGAGACCGATATTTCCTCGTAGGTTATGCGTCGTATTGTCATGAAAACTGGCTGCGAAATTGCTATTTTTCTAAGCTTTGCATGCCCTTATTTTCGTCAAAATGTTGGCAACGAGTTGGCTGCAAAAGGTCCCGAAATTGGGTAAACTTTGGGCGAGGGGTGGGGGGTGGATTTAGTTACACTTTTGGATGCAGCCGCCTAAATGGAGCTTTAGGATACAGTAGACTGTGAGTGTTGAAAGTGGTTATGAGGATTTTTTAAATTGATGGGTACTGAAATTTATGACTAATGATCTTATGAGCTATCAGCTTATCTGTATTGATCTGAGTTACGTGTTATGTAGGCTTATACGTTTTTTAACACAAAGTTCCTGATTTCTAACACAAAGAATGATGTTCCACGAACTATTCTTAGAATACGAGTTAAGGTTAAAAAGTTGGAAAAGCAAGGAATTAAGGCGTTTTTCGGCGGTTCACGTTGGCCCAAGTGCTATTTGCCTAGGGGGGGGGGGGCACCCATCGACGGATTTCATCAATTCCCTCTTGCTCCCCCTCGTCCTCCTCCTCCTCTCTTTCCCCTTCGAAAGGATGGCTAGGAACTTTTCTCATCAAAAATCCGTCCACCCCTACCCATCCACACACACGGGGCCCCCTGGCCGGTCCCACATTTTTGCGCACATTCTAGGCTTCACCTGCTTTCAACGCTTCGGCCAAGATTTTGACCCCACTTAAAAGGTTTTGTTTTGAATATAAGAGAGACGGGGCCCCCTGTAATATATAAACGGGGCCCCCTGTATCATCAAAACTGGCAAACTTGCCAGTAATAGCATGTTCAATTTTGTGTCCTTTGCCACATTCAGAGTTTTCTTGATGCATTATATTAGCGTATTAGTAATTTTCATCCATTTAAATTGGCGAAAACAAAATAAGCCCTGGTCCGATTTAAAGGTACAGTCCGCTCTCGTTTGAATCGTCTAAGATCTTAGACAACTTGTGTTTTAGAATGCCGGGTTACGGTAGGTGCTGAAAATCGGGCAAAGCCGAACCCGGGACGCTCGCCTGGGGCAAGCGCTTTAGACCACTCGGCCATGGGAGAGACGGGGGAGGGGATGGGGCGAAGAGCTATGAAGGGTCGGAGGCGGCGACCGCCGGACAGCCGAATCCATGCCGCCGACCTCGGTTTTTTTAACGAGTGCGGAATGTACCTTTAAGAATATCACCGAGCATACTAACGGTATAACTGTTTTCATGCCTAAAATGAAATTTTACAGTATATTTTCTATACCGAACTGTTGCGTAGCTTTCCGGCCGACTCCGAAAAAACTTCCGTTCAGTTTTTAGCATCCGTTCCTTCATACGAATTTTCAGCAAAAACAGCGGTACCACCCAAAAGCTCAAGACACTCGCAAAATAGGACTCAATTCCGCAACTAATTACCGTGTCTGCCTAGCAGCTCGCATTTTCCGGACTAATCCAACGGACCCCCATCCGGCCCCTTTCACGGATACTATTGGATTTTCATGATGAGCCCAAAGCTCTGCGTCTGACTCCGCGGGGGGTAGAATGTTTTTGACTTGTAGAGATATGGGCCAACGGAGCGCGGCAGATTGTTTTTGGGGCCCAACGCTTTTGTTGTCTAAAAGGAAATAAACGTTCGAATACAGCTTTTCGAAATATGGGGTGGGTGAATTCGCGTAATGGTTGGATGGGTGGGTGGGTGACGGCGATAATTGCGTTAGAATGGCCTCCAGAAGTGTCCTTTTCTTCGTCTTTATCATCGTTTTTTCTTTCATCTTTCGGCAGCATCCGGCTTTTCCCCCATCCCTCTCTATCGCCATGTGCCAGCCGGAGCCAATCCGTTTAGCCGAATATTTGGTGAGGTAGTAGCTACGTAGTTGTTGATTCCGGATGCCCCTTTTTGATTTGGATGTGTTAGATAGACCGAGAAATAGCCCCCGAACTTAAAATCTATCTTACGCTTTAAATCGATCGAAAAATTTTTAGAAATTCTTAAAGCTGCTTACTGTATTATATTTTTTCAGCAACGTGCCGATGTACACAAAAAATCGACGGACATCCAGCCAGGCAGGAAGACTTAAAAAAGGTTTGCAATAATAAATAGTACAGATTATTTTTAAAATTTTAGATGGTATAAAGCGATCCCCGACCACTGAGACAGCATCTACAGAATCTAGTAGTGGCCAGAATAACGCACTCTCGCCAACGACTTGTGAAGGAAGTAAGTGACTGCCAGAAAATTTTCTAACATTAGACATATGATTTGTTATTGTAATTAGAATTACTACGGTATAATACAGTACTTTAATTTCAGATTCGGTGCCCGTCACACCGTCATCATCTGGGACTAATCGCCTCCTGACACCCCAACCACAGCGCCAACGAAGTCGGTCCCTTTGTGCACAACAAATGGAAAACGATGTTCAGGTATATAAAAAAAACTCAAATAAAATTATTTATCCAGAAGAAATTATGTAAATAGAAAATTTTTAGGCGATCACAAACTCACCTCTCCTAATACCGCAAACACACCGTGAAGCATCGCGAGAATCTAGAAAGCACTCAACTGGTGTCGTCCCTTCCCTCAATCGCATTCGAATCACATCCGCCTTCAAAATGTCAAAGTAGGAAACGCATGAATTTCGTACTTATTTTCTACTTTCAGACCAACGATCGGTGAAGCCATCCTGAAGCGAACATCTGCCTCCAGACCAGAAATCCGGCTCTTTCTTTCAAAACTAAAGTGAGAATTTTTTGCAACTACGGAGTTGCCTTCGTAAACTAAATTAGTAGATCAATTTGTTTTTAGCTTTAACAGACTTTTAAATCCCCATTAATTCATCGTTTTAGCGATGAACAAGCGGCCGATCTGGGACGAGTACTCTACGAAATGTTAAATGAAGGCGTTGCCAGGCTGGATTCCGTGGATCACGTAAGCTTATAGACCTTAGACCGTATAAATACAATTATATAGGTAGAAAATGCGGGGCGTAACGCTGGTTCGGCATTTGCACTCCTCTCCCCACTCGGGTTCAGGCCCGATTTTTTCGCTCCATTGGCCGATGGCGCCATAGCTGAATGTGTCAAATTGGATGCAGGAGCGCATAAGGTAAGTAAAAAATCGAACATTTTTACTAAATTGCGTAACAAATAAATGCAAAAACAAATATACCTTTTTAGCGGTGCGAGACGCTACTTGCCTGGTCACAACTGATGTCGGCTCTTTTTTCGGGTGTCAGAGACGGTTATTATTCGCGAATCCGATATCAACGACGGTAGGTAGTAAAATATTAGCGGACCCGTATAAACAAAATTAATAAAAACAATTTGACAAACTTAATAACAACTTTTAGTTCATCTCTACCACAAGGACAACCTATTCAACGTCTCCAAAGTTTGGAGCTTTGCAAAACGACAATTTCCGAGCATCCATAAATTATTTGTGATTTGAATAGACCATTTTTCACTCGCTCTTTGATTATACTGTATTTGATTCATCCGGTCTCCTGCAAGCCATATCTTTCCTTGAACGTTCATTTCCCCGGTGGCTCCACCTGTGTATGTCCATATTTTCCAGTTATTTATTCATATATCTGCCAGCTGTATCCGTTTAATTTTTTGTAAGTAATTTCCTACAACTAAGGCAGATTTGGTAATTCGTCATCTTTATTTATTTATTATGTTTGGTGCTTTTCAAACTATAAAAATTCATGTTCATGTTTGAATTTTGTGAAAAGTTCAAAACAACTGAAAACAGAGGAATTTAAGGCAAGAAACTCAAGGATTTCTAAAGTTTATTGAAAATATAAAGCACCACATGAATTTAGAAAAGAAAATTTTTTTAGGGTTAGCTAAACGCGATCGTGGAAAAGTCCCTGCTTGCTCCATCGATAGACAACGGGTGGGAAGTTGAAACGATCGGGCATACCTTCGTGCGGTACCGAGTCTCTAGAAATAATAAATTATTACGCTCACATATCGTCAAAAGTATCATAGCGTAATCTTACTCACTTGAAAGGTGTGGTCTTCCAGTTAAACTCCGGCACATTGTCGCTTGTAGGTCCAGAAATGGCGACGAATTGTAGCTTGCGATGGAGTTTGTAGTTCGTCAACTAAATCGAGGATGGTCGAGGAGTATTAAGACAAAATTTTAAGGTAATTTCGTGCGAGCACCTTCATATCGGTAGCTCCATGGTCACGATGTCCCAATGCGGAGAACGGGTACGATCCGTCAATCGGGTTCAGATCCGATCTAAAAAACCGTGAAAATATTCACCTTCATATCCGTTCCGCCCTGGTCTTTGTGTCCCAGATTCTCAAACGGATATGTGCCGTTGGCGGGGTTAAGGTCATCTCTCAAATAATGATTTTTAAAGGCAAAGAAAACGTTAGAATTGAAAATTATTGGATACAAGTCTATTTGTATTTTTAGCTTCTAAAAATTACCTGCATGAAATGGCATTTTCAGCTGAATATGGTGGATCACATTCGCAAGCGGCCAGCGGATCGTTTGTATAGTCGTTGGAGCTAATAAATGTTAAATAAATACGTTTTTGAGCATACCGCATCAATCGCCTCATGCTCTCCATATTCTTGACCTTATGGTAATCACGCTTGAAGATCAGGGCCCTCGGCGTGCGATCATAGGTAAACCATTCTCCGTACTGCTCGGCAAAGCTGGCCGTCATACTGTCGTTGTAGACATCCGGGAAAAACCTGCAAGCCATGACATTTCACAGTTCCGGTGACCTACGGCATGTTATAACTGGGCCAATAATATTGTTGAAGCAAGAACTCGCTGAGATCTTTGTGTTGGATGTATCCACTAAATCAGGCTAAGTTTCGGAGCTAACGGATTACGGTAGCTGTTCTAAGATGTGAATAAGTCCCTGGCGTGGTTGACGTGGAGAATCGGGCTTGAACTTCTTGTAATCGACGATCACCCTAAAAACATATAATAAATTAAATAAAAAGATTTCCAAATTACCATTGGTTGTTGTACGTTCCAGAGTTGTATTTGGCGAAGATTTCTGCCCATTCAGCATTACCCGAAGAGAGACGTGTGGCAATCTGGAAAATAGTGGTCATGAAGCCTCAATCAATTGCTATTACGATTTGATTTTGCTTATTCGATTTACCTGAGCTCGGATGAAGCACAGTACCGTCTCCGGCACGATATACTCCTTCATGATCTTGTGGTTGTAGTTGCTAATTGTTGTCTCGAGAATAGCCAAACCAGAAGAGGAGATCATAAAGTCGTCAGTCGAAGGAATAGCTCCTGGACGCCAAAATCTTGAATTTCTTGAATTTTACCTACCCGGATAGCTGGAGTACGAATACGCGTATCCAGGTGCCTTCACTTTCCAGGTGATTTTCTTCAACATCCTCAACATCGTGGAATAGCTGGACCAAGTGACGTGTGAGAAATAAAGGTCGGAATGGTCAGGAAGGAGTCTGACAAGGGCCGAGCAATGACCACCTTTCCAAGCTGATCGTAGATGTTCAGGGCGCTTGAACAGAAGCGCCAAATCCTCCATATCACCAGCAAGCTGGATATAGCTGAAATAGTTTGGCTCCACTAAGCTGCTTATTAGACGTACTAAATTGGATGCTGCACCAGGTCCTCGACCTTTCGGAATTCATTGAGCGTGCCCTCATAACCGTCAATAATTCCATTCAGTTGATTCAGAGTAACGTTAATCTATATTCCTGTATGAATCGATATAACGCCGAGCGCTACCTGTTGCCAATACTCATCCTCCGGATTCTCCTCTACTTGATTTCTCATCCAGAGCAGGTTTTCAACCAAGAATCTATTCAGCTTTTGGCAATACTCCTCTGCACCATCACAATATCCATCGACTGTGTTGTGGATGTGCATTCTGATTATATCTCGGGTAGCACGACCTGGAATTTATGGTTTGAAGCCATGATTAATATGGCAATCTCTTCTATTTTCCTAGCATTCTACCTTCAACAAAACCAGCAGAATATCCCTGCAGCCACAATGGAATATCGGCATCATGGAGCTCGATTTCCAAATAGCCCCATCTGCAATATAAACTTTACTTTATTTTAATTCTACTCTGTTAGAAGAACAGTTTTTAAACTCGCTAAAAACCTCCCGTTTGACATCCTGGATGGTTGTCTTCAAAAGAATATATTTTACTACTTTATTTTCTTTCATTTTCAATTTTTATTTTTATTTTGGCTGGCTTATGTGTCAGCTAGTTTCAGTTAGATCATAAATCATTGCCACCAAAGGTCACATCAAACTTCGCGGGCCCCCGAGTGGCGCCACCACAAAACCGCCAAAAGGATTCCCGCGTACACTTATGATGTAGTATTCTGACTACACAATCTCTCTTTCCCCTCATAATTTAATTATTAGAATTAAAATCATATTGATGGTAAGTTTGCAGCTTGGTGTCAGATCTCACCCGGTTTCATTGACTCCATTTGTGGCTCGGGCGATCGCCAGTTCATGTGCACATTCTGGATCGGTTTGATCGTGATTACGGACTTTGTATTGATGCAAGGAGCCATCGTCTCGCTCACAGATCCCATACTAAAGATTTTATAAATAAATGGCGTAGCTTAGGAAATAAAGTTTGCTATTTATCCGTCTTTACATGGATTTCTGGCGTGAACCTTGAGGAAGCCCAGTAGTTTCTACAAGAAAACAACAAAATTCCTCACCTCACGAGCTGTCAGCTTCTCCCCATAATCCGGATAGCTATCAGTTTCGGTTTTGAGATGATATCCATTCGCTTGAGAATACCACCCCAATAACAGCCCGATTAAAACAACCCTCGCCCACATTCTAAATCATATTTTCATATCGAACAACAGGACCATTTATATGAATTTCAGAACGATGCTAGGCAACGCGAAGTCATTGATTCGATTAGCAATGGACCCCGGATTTGAGACGAAATTTTCGGGTCCTGTTGAAGTCCAGCAGGTATGGTGACTTTTATTTCAAGAATCCAAAGAATCGGATGAAGATCGGCTACTTCTTAAAAGAACTGAACCTAAAACTTGCGCAAAATCAAAAGCAAAGCCACGAGCCTTTTCGAAGCTTCCCGTTTGCCGGCTAATCAGCATGACCCCATGGGTGATGGGAACCGAGGAAAGATAAGAGTGTTTTGAATGATGGGCCGTCTGAAGAAACCTCTTCCAAAAAGCTTTATCGCTCGGAAACCGTCTGTAAGAAAAAATTGAAGAAATCCGGGGGGTTTTGGCGATTTGTTGACTTTTGGATAGCTAACAATAACATCAAAGGAGCGCTGGCTGCAGGATCCCATGAATTTTGCAGAATAATGAAAAATATTTCATTTATTTCTGTTTTCAGGAGCTGAAATGGCGTGCCGGATGGGCTGTCTTGAAGGCGAATATGTTCTTTGTATTTGAGAGGTAATTATTTTTGGTGGGATCCATATTTTAGTGATTTTCAGGACAGGCACTGAGAAGAACGATGCTGTTCCTCCATTTTTGCTGTTGATAATCGAAGACTGTTTTGTTGAGCTAGGAGATGATAATATGTTGGGAAAGGAGTTCACATTTAAAATTAATTACAAAACGTATGTTTTATCCATTTTGCATACAGTAATCCTTTTAGCACCGGAAAATCCTACACCCTATGCTCGGATTCCTTTAAATCCCTAGGAAAATGGGTATCATTATTGACGATAACACCGACCGAGTATATTAGCATAACAACACAATCCTTCCAGGTGGTTTCATCAGATTCTGATTAAGACGTTGTTTAAGGCACAAATCGATGATAAAGAAATGGAAGATAAAGCTGCGGCCGCAGCAGCAGCAAATACTTCCAAGTCATAGGAGATTTGAACCATTTTATTGTTGCTTTTTAGATTTTTGTCTTAATCTCGGGTAGTTTCCATGACCTTTCTTGTGATTTCAGGTATATTTTTGCCATAAACCCCATTTTAATTTTATTCTCTTTTTCTTTGTAGATTTATCTGAGTTGTAGAATTTTAATACGTTCCTGGTTATCAAATACATATTAATAATTTTGAAAGGGATGCTTTCAGTTCTCGTTTGCCTATTGGAATCTCGGTAATTTGGATTTTAATTTCATAGATTTTACCAGACAAAACCTCGAATGTTCCGCAACTGTAATTTTGATAAATTGTGTGAATTTTAGGATAAAATCTCATCCTAAAATTTGGGAATTCTGAAAATGCCAGGTTTTCATAATTTATGATTCTCAAAAATCGAGATCCTGATTAACGAGATTCTAACAGGTTTCCCCAGTTCTCCTAAATTGCCTTCATTCCATAGACCTGTGATATCATCTGTATTACCAAATTTGCATGCAATTCAATCACAACTACCAGAATAAATATTTTATTATGGGAACAGTGGACTTTGCATGCCCCCCCTTACACGCGACCCATCCACCGTATTCCCTTGGGTTGACCCGTGGCGCGATCGGGGGTCATTCGATTGTCCGCCCCTGCTGTGCGGCCAGTGCGGTAAATTTTCTGCCTAAAATCCGGCTTCAACAATTCGGAAGTCGGCTTTTCACGTTGTTAGCAGTCCGGGATGGACGAGGCTGAGCATAAGCCATTAGGGGATGGTTTGGCGGCATTTAAACCATCGCCAAATAAGGTGTATGCTACCCTTGATCCAGGTAAGTATTGATCATTAATGGAAAGCAGGGGGTGTTACGACAGCATAATCGATATTCGGGGGGATGGCAATTAACATGATGACACCAAATGACAACGTGCTATCCAGTCCCTTGCCCCTATTGATTAACCAGCCATAATTTTGTATTCAGTATTACGACCATTCAGATCTAAACTTAGATCATAAATTTTATGTAATAATTTAAAATACGTTGACTTAAATTGTTTAGCAAATTTATTAAAAACCTTTAGTCTATCCGATGCCCGACGATGTCGGCGATTTAAAAAACGTCGCATATTCCTACGATGAAAATGGGGAGCGGCGACAAGTTAGTGGAATGTGTTGTCCGTATGACAATTTTTAGGATTCTCTTGATGAAGCTTCGAATGATATTCCGGAACCCGAATGCTCAAATGGTTCTAATCCGGCACGACGAGCATTAAATTTAGGTTGCTTTTTGTTATTAGAACTATTTAAATTATTATTTTTAGACGAAATTCGTTCTGATTCCGTAACCGATTTTTCTGATCTTCTTATACCTTCTGGAGGGGTAAGATATCAAGTAAGGTGCTTTATGGAACCCAAGCTAATCGTTATTTAGTATCAAACGGTTAATCAACATCGAAACTCCTACTATCGTCAAGATTCCGATCCTGGCCTCGAAAATATCAGCGAAATTTATGTTGCGGTAACTTTTTCAGTAATCGCTCTTTAAAATTAATATAGGACAATTTCTTCCAAGAAACCGTAATGCCTGCCAATCATAGCGGATGGTATCGGCAAAAAACCATCGGTAAGCGAGCAGTATAAAAATTAAACTTTTATTCTATTATTTTTTTAGGAAACTCGGTAATTATGAGGACGCCATGTAAAGATTCTGGGAATACTAATCAGCTGTTACTACCCCAAGATGTAAAGTGTCAAAAATTGGTTTTTAAACTCAGCCTTTAGAACCCAAAAGAATATGAGGCAATGTCCGGGGCAACGTATGAAGAATTTTTTGCAGTAAATCAAGCTACTGAGGGAGGGCTTCCTGATGGTAAATCTATTAGTTTTTAATTTTTGCCTTATTTTCCATGAATGCTTTTCTAAACCACCACCGGTTAATGATTGTTTTTATGTACTTTTCGTAATCTCCCTTCCTTTCATCCCACAATTTTTACGAGCCTCCGACCCTGGCGGTGACCTTTCTGTCACCTGTCTTGACACGAAAAATCTGCCGTTGCCTCGGGGCATGTGGACGGTTATCAAGATTTTCGCAAAATACATGAGTGGTAGAAGACACTGTTATATTATATCGAGATTATGAAAATGTTACATATAAATCTAACTCAGCGGCGATCCAAAATTATGACGGCATAGATTGCTAGAACTATCTTTATGGCTCCGCTAAAATATGCTAATATAAAATATTCACGAGAGTCTTTGTAGATCTGCACTGAGTCAAATTGGATGTGATTTAGCCACGAGTGATATTTAAATATTTCAGATGACACCGTAATCCTGGATGAATCAAAATCTGGGATCGAGCTTCTGAGCCTGGCGGCGGAAAGCTTACCAATAGACGAACCGCGAGATCAATTTGGTGGAACGTTGCTGCTCAATACCTTAGGTGGGTCTAGAAAGCGAATCATTTGGTTCCACTACGCAAACGAATATAAATATCAATAAAGTTCAGGTAGAAACAGTGTCCGGAAAAATGAGGCTCTGGATGCGGATTCCTACGGCTCCGAAGACGAATGTCAAATTCCATGTAAAAAGAAGAAAAAGAAAAAGCCTGACCAGAAAGGTAAATTATTGTTATTGTAATTAATTTTTGTTATTCACAGATCGTGATTCTTCAAAATCCTTGAAATTATTTGCCTCTAAAGTGCGAGATAAGGTTCAGCGAAAGGGCGTGACAACCTATGCCGAGGTTGGTTTCAATCGAATCTTTATAAACGAATTCCCCTAGGTGGCCGAAGAGCTAGTACAAGAATATTTTGATTCGGTCCCAATGGAATCGATAGAAAAGAGAGCCTCGGATGGGAAAAATATTCGAAGAAGGGTTTACGATGCCCTCAATGTGTTGATCGCTTTGAGGCTGATCAAACGGGACAAAAAGGTAGACTATCGTACATCTCCCCCAAAACCTTTAATCTGTAGACGATCGTCTGGGCGAACGTTGACTCGACCCGTGTGGATTACCCGAGCGAGGAAATTCACGGTATTTTTTTGAAATGTCCACTTATAAAAACGAGGTTTCAGCATTGCGAGAAATAGTTCAACACCGGCAAAAGATCATCGGCGAAATGTTGAGTGAGATTGTGTCAACAAAGAGTCTATGCGAGAGAAATGCGTAAGTGCAGCGTATCGGGATTCTTAAATGTATGATACAGGACCTATGAACAGGTGCATGGAGTTCCCCATTCGGATGACGTCATCACAATGCCGTTTGCGCTGCTTTTGGCAAACCCGAAGTGAGTTATATACTTGGATGAATAGTTGAAGAATATTTGAAAATAAAACTTTATTTTGCGCCGCTTTATTTTATATTATTAAAAATATAAATTAGATACGGCTATCGCTGCCGCGTTGACACCAACCAACAAGATGCGGTCTGCCAATTTGGAGCGGCAGCAAAGGTTAGTAAATCAAAATCAGATAGCATTTTAAAAAGGTTTTGACTCTATTCAAAATTGCAAGTTTCAACTACAAATATATAGGTGGTTACCGATAATGAAGTGATGGAACGTCTCGGACATACCTACGGCATCAACGGCGAAGGCGTAAGTTCTAAAAATCGACAAAAAATATTATCCCATTATTTCAGATCGATGATGCCGATCTGCCAAAAATTAAAAGCTACCTCCCTCCCTTCATCCATGACATACTACCCAAGTTCCTCCGCTTCAAAACCGAACCCAACGAGCGATTTGTGGTCCCGCAACACCCAGCGCCCAAGGTATTTTCCTCCCTTAATCTATATGATGCCCATAATTTTCAGCCAGCTCGAGCAAACGCGGGTCGTCGCCAAAAACACAAGCCCGTCGTGGAGCAGGATTCAGCGTCGGCCGTGAAAAACCTAAAGCCGAATTTCCAAAAAGTTATTAAAATAGACCCAGACGCTCCAGGACCGTCAGCGCGATTGTGTTAAAATTTTAAAGCTTTTCCTTTTCTTGCTGCATTGATGCTTGCTCTTGAATAAGTAAATGTCCTATATTTTTATAAATTTTTATGTTGCATCTCCCATTTCTTTACCCAGATTTAATGCGAAGCTCAATGTTTCTAATCCCAGGTCAAAATGTATTTTTCTCAACCCTCACCTACGAAAGATTCGAATCCATGACATATCCCAAACTCTGAAATTTGCTGGACCTATTTTTACCGATATCCCTACCTCTCAATCTATCCCGAACCCAATTTGTTTCTACCGGTGCAGTTCCTCGGTGTGTTTTGTCGTTGTGACTAATGATTTTCACCCCGTAATAATCATAATAAAATGTGAAACCTACTAAATAAAAAGAAAACGTTTAAGGTTGGACCAGGGATGAAAAACCGCTTCGCGGCTTTTCAACCCTGGCCCCGTCTTCTCCAATGATATTCTTGGCTTTGCATAATTTTCCCGGATTCGGATGACAAAAAATGAAAAATGCTCTTGCCGTCCCGTTTTATAGGCGACCGCGACTTCCGGCGCATGCTAATTTGATCCTAACAAATTGGGGTGTCCGGTTTTCCATGAAAAACTTAATTTTAATGTCGAAAACAGCTTATTTTGTAAAATCTAATATGTGTGCAGTCATCTCCGGCCCATTACGCATCTAATGACGTATCGAACATACCCCTAAGTACTTCCCTTCTTGAGATACTACTGGAACACGGTGACGGAAGTTGCATGCAAATGCACACACACACACACACACACACACACACAGACACTATTTTTTTATATATAGTAGGATAAAAAAAATATCAAACCATTATTTTCGCGGGGTGCATGACTAATTCGGCGAAAGTGGCACTGCCGCGTCTTTCTTATGGATTTTTTTCGGGGGTCGGGCGCTGAGTGGGAAAATATGAACATTCACTCAGCGGACGCCCCGACACAATTTTTGTCAATGTTTCATCTTGGTCTTGATCAGATTCTTCGAGATTTACGCGTTTCTTTCCGTTTTTCTCAAAAAGTTAGCTTACAAAATATTAAAAAAAATATTTTAACTCACATCTAGGTCATCCCATCTTTAAGAAGATTTTCAAACTTATACAAAAATTTAAACGATGATTTTTCTTATTTAGTCCCTCACATTTTTTTACTAAGCCAGACCTAGCATGCGCTAACGCTGGGACCAGACAGCCAACCATATCGGCCATGGAATAGAGACGCAGCGTAATATTAGACGGCAAATTTCCGCTTCCTGCTGGGTCCGGCAGCCAATTATGCGCAGATTATTGTGAAAACCGCGTTTGCTATTGGCGCCCAATGTTACTCGCTGTTTTATTTATTATTCCAGTAGGCGCACAACAAGAATTAGAGTGAGTTCTAAGGAATAGGAAGCACACGGAGGTCTGCAAGCCTTGAATATACTTCAAATCCTGCTGGAATCAGACTATTGTCATAAAAACTGTGAAATCATCGTAGTAAGCCTAAAATTCTAGCCCAGCCGCCCCACCCGACTTCCCTGAAGAGGCGAGATATTATTTTGATGCACCGAAGGCGAAGCTTGCGGAACCGATTACGCAGCGAGATACGCTAAAATTTGTACATATCGTAAGTTTTGCTGAAAATACCGAGTTCGAAAGAATTAATCTGCTCTTTGCAAAATCAAGCTATTTTCGGTTGATTAGGGACTCATCCAAATGATATGTTTCCAAAATTACTAGGTATCAAGACCGCTTGAATTGGCACCCTAAGCTATTCCATAGTGACCAAAAATTCTTGCTCTATTCATTTTCAATCAATTATCGTTCTAGGATCCAAATTAATTATATTTTAGCTATATCGACATGGCGACCGAGCACCATCAATGCTTTTACCAAATGATCCAAATAACGGTGCATCCTCCTGGCCAAATGGTCTATCGGAATTGACCCCAAAGGTATATCAAACCCCCGAATTCTACGAAACCCACTGATATTCTAGGGTATCCAGCAACACCACCGACTTGGAAAATGGTTGCGAAATCGATACGATACTTTTCTAGGAAAGAACTTTTCGAGGAAAGATGTAAGTGTGTAATTTAGTTTTTAAATTTTTTCAAGATTTATGTTAGAAGCTCAGACTATCCAAGGACGATCATGTCGGCGCAAGCAAATTTGGCAGGTAAAGCCCCCTTTAATCTATTTAACTTTTAATTAGCCATTATAAAATTCTGAAAAAGTCTAATTCTTTGAGGAATGTTTCCAACGTCACTACTAGATGCTAGCAAGCCGGATGATTGGATACCGATACCAATCCACACCGTCGACAAAGACCGTGATATTGTAAGAAATATATTACTTAATCTTTTAAGATCAATAATTCAGCAATTGAATGAGCAGCTAAAGTGCCCAAATGCAGATGCGGCGTTGAACGCAATGAATGACGATCCAAAGGTAGATTTATTAGGCAGATTTTTTTATTCCTTCAAGGTTCACGAAATCGAAGAAGCACACAAGGATTTGTTAAAATACTTGGAGATCCATTCAGGTATAGGTTTTCTTCAAAAGCTATGACAACCTTAAGGCGTCAAGAAACCGTTGCGCCTGCGGGGAATGTGGGCCATTTTTGATGCGTTGAATTGCGAGGTAAGTGTGCAAAACATTATGAATTGGCGGTATAACCGAGAAAAACAGAAATTTAAGTTTAGTATCATCACCAGGATACACATAAATGGCCGGACTGGATGAATGCAACGATCTGGGGTAGAGTACAGACCCTCTACGATCAGAGCAGCCAATTCATTTTCCATAATAAGCAATTGAGGAAATTGAGAGGAGGTCAGGTTTTCTGGAAAAAATTATGAATAGTAATGTTCAGGTGCGCTAGTTGCCGAAATTTTCGAGCGGCTACAGGCGAAAAGGAATGGTACTTTGGATGCAAAGGGCCCTACTAAAGTATATGTGTATTCAGCGGTAGGGCATCAGATCGCCTTTTGGAAAATTAACCTAAATTTCAGCACGATACTACACTTGCCGCATTTTTGTCGACATTCGGGATTGTTCCACATGTGTTTCCACTCTATGCATCGACAGTCATCCTGGAAATGCATAATATAGCGGGGCAGGATATTGTTGAGGTAAATACAAAAGATAAAGATGCTAGCCATTGCTCAGGGCAAACAGTTTTTAAGGCTTGACATTGCTTTAGATATACTCCAAAAATGTGACCGACTCCGGCGCCATCTATCAAATGGAAATTCCATCATGCCCGGCTCCCTGTGAAGTCGATTTTATTAAAGAAAGGTTGAAAGAGTAGGATTAGTTTTGAAGCTTTCTTGTAATCGATGATCCAGGTTTTATCCTACGGATTGGTATGCTGAATGCGGCCGACCCAATTCTTCCTCAACAATTCCACTTTGGGGTGTGTCCAACTCGCAATATTTAAAAGAATTCCATTTTAGCGATAATTTTTACCCTTTTGATGACCAATATTCTATGCCTAGCGGTCATTTGTGTTGATGTGATCATTCGGAGACAGTCTTCGGTATGGAACTTCTTAAAATCGTTTGAATCGTGTTTTCTAGCCTCGACTCGATCCGCGACGTCTATTGGAGGAAAAGTTGATTGCCGACGAAGAGGAAGACATGTTGTAGCTTTCGGGAAGATAAACTGGACTTTGAGCTTTCCGCATCAGTAGGGTCAATCTTCTAGTCAAGCTTTAAAAAATTTCTGTGATATGATTTTGATTGTGAAGTAGTTCTTAATATGTAACCTCTACAGCTACAGAAATTGGCATAAATTCAAAGGTAAACTAGCCACCCACTTGAAATTTCAGATTTCCTTTGATAATTTTACTTCCGGGCAGCTTCTCTTTGCATATCTGCTTCTTCTGTGTGTTTTTTTTTACTTTCTTTCGATTGGTTGCTATTGCGATAAAGATTTTTCGACATTTTCTTATACAGAAAATGCATTCAGGCTTCTAAGAATAGCAGTTTTTGCTCAAAAAAGTTTATAAATTTCGTGCATATTTTTTGGCAAGTGGTTGCTCATACCCTAAAAACTGCTGCCATGCCAACAGAGGTCGTCTCAACCAGGGATTCCAGGTATCGCCTCATTTTTCCATCTCTTCACACCCTCGATGGGGTGAGAAGCTATACGATTTTATAAATAACCCTAGAAAAACCCCCGGTTGTAACGGACAAACTTTGCCCTAATTGGGTTCGTTATTATCTGAAAAAGCTGGCCCACCTCCGGTTCTTGTGGCAACGGAAAAGTAATATTCTTCGCATTCCTTCCACCTAGATTTTTCAAATATGCTCGTTTTCCATTTGGGTCATGTCAATTTTGGACATGGGTCCCCAATGCTGTTGATTGCTTGCGTTTCGGGGGCCTCTCCCGGGAATGGGACGCTAGGGCCCCCGATTTTTTATGCTCGACAAATCTTGGCCCTTGGCCTCTTCGTTGCGTGGTTACATCGCTGCGTGGTGGTGCTATAGGTTTTTACGAAAAACGGTTGGTTTCTGATGTTTGGACTATTTTTGAAGAATAAATAAAACGAGGAAAATTTAGAAAGTAATGGAAAAGTAGCGTATGGTTGCATTCAAATTTTATGTGTGCGTTGCGCTGCCTACCATTGTTTACTAAATACCTATTTCTGTTAATAATTATCTATTACCTATAATTATCTATGAAATATATGTTATCGCAACAAAAATGATCGGTTTTTGATTCGCAACGTATTTTTAACCTTTTGTCTAGAATACAGCGATTTCAGAATCCGTAAACGTTACAAAGGCTTAGAAACCCATCGAAGATTAGCATGGCGTACAAATTAGTTAGGATGCTGATATCAATTGCTAAATTCCGAGAAAATAAATATGATTCTGGGGGTCTAGTTAGCTGCTCAAAATGCAGCTCAAATGCATTAGGGGTATTTTAAGAAAATTGATGAAATTCGGCTTTGTGAAAGTAGTTTGTAGTTTTGCTTTTAAAATTTCAATAAACCGCTGAGATTTGAAACTTTCCAGTGCCTTTAACGAATCGGAATGGCCAGGGGTCAGTCAACCGGGGATGAGAGCCAACGGGCAGCCTATCGGCTTTTTAGGGGCAGAAGAAGCTTGTCCCGTTCCCCCACAGGGCCCTGTGACGCTTACCCTCTCTCCCTCATCCCTACTGCCACCCAACGCCCAGAAAAAAACATTGTGCACCGGGATAAACAGCGATATACCCGCGACTAATACCCAAATCGGTTCCAGAAATTTAAGCGTGGTCTCGCCTACTTCTCCTACCATTAATGGGTCCTTGATCCGAATACTGCGCAGCCCTCCGATTTACCTGATGCTGGCTTTTAGAGCCAGATTTTGGGCTTTTCTTTTATATAAATTATTTTACTTTTCCCTTTTCCCTACTTTGAGCACCATAATCTTCGATGTCATCAATAATATTCTTGCCGAATTCTATTTTCAAGGCTCATTTCTATATACACTACTATATTTTTAGCCATCCCCGTCACCAGCCCCAAATAATGTCGAACCTATGGAACTGCTGCATAACAGGTATTATTTTTCTCTTTTTTTTCTGGAGCGAACCCTCACCTCCTCCTCTCTCCTCATCCCTCTCGACCCACTTCCCACCTCCCCGCCCGCTGCTTATTCCAAACCATATAAAAACGAAAAATCTACGACCACCACGGCAGGCGGAAAATTACCCTCTCCTCCTCTTTTCACCCTGGTGAAGGGCGCCCAAAAATCGGCGGCTCCGCTTCTCAATCGAACATAAAAGTTGGGGCGGGCCGTCATTTCGCGGGCACTCTTTTCTTCCCAACAACCTTTTTTGATGTGGGCTGGCTAAACGGTTGGGGTGTTGGCGGGGATCGGTGTAACTTTTGGTTTTTGCTGTTTTTAATTTTTATATCATTAGTTCTACAGACGATTTTCCAAGAGGACTGGTAAATCAAAATTGACAGGTTCGGATTCATTCTAGTTTTCAGTGAAGCTGATTCATTTCGACAGCGAATCAGCGCCCGCGAAAGTTCTGAGCTTGAATTTTTAGTGGAACTTTTATTAGTATTATCAGCAAATATTTTGATAATTATCATGGTCCAATAAAATTCTAGCGAAATTTTATCAGTCATCGGCACATTTTGAGGAGTTGCTTTGTCAGATCTTCTCCACAGATCAAGGGCGTCTTTTGCCGGCTGCTGCGGGTGGGGGGGGGGCTATGTTTGTTTTGCTAGCGGGTTCCGCCCATCCACGGCCAAAACATTCTTAGGTCTTTCTTCATTTGCCCTTGGATGTCATTTGCATGTTATTGGTTTATTGACGGTTGTTTCCGTATTTTATTCGGCCTCGATAATGCCATAGTTCTTCTAAATCTTTGCGAAAAGTTTGCGACATTTTTGAGACAGAAATGCGCTTGGTTTGGCATTGAAATATGATTTGAATTTTTCGGTTGTTGCTGCCACTTTCTTCGAATATGGATTTAATTTTAGAAAACTCGCCCTTTTTTGACTTATTTAATCTCGATCCCTCTATTTTTTCGAAGAATTACCTCCAAATTTTCAAAGCTTTCTCAAACTCCTAGATTCCTGATTTGATGGATTTTCTACTTGTATCACCGCCAGAACAAGAAATTTGTTGTGGAGGTTGGCAGCCCGCTTTGCTGGCTGGCTAGTGGTGGGGTGGATGTTGTTGACCGGTGTGTTTGGAAGTCTCCTTCTCTTTTTCTCCTTTTATTTTTCTGCGACCAGCCGGCCCTCCTCTTTCTCGCTGTTTGTCTCTATCTATCTAGCCATTGATCGCCAGCCTGCCCCCTTCCCTGCCAGTTATTTTTTCCTTCTATCCTTCCCCAACCTCTCAATGACCCTGATCCCTCGTACAGCCCTTCTCGTTAATGCATTTCCGATTCCTCGCCGACTGATTGGGCGCGGGAAGCCCCAAAAAAAATTACGGCCTGATCGGGTTTTTGGGGGTAGCAATCTAGCTGCTTTGTAACGACCGTTGGCGTAATTAAAGGGTTTGTTTTTGTTTATTGGCTGGTAGGTTATTGGTAAATAAGGGATATGTTCGAATTGTTTACCTCTCGAAGCTAATTGCTTTTCGGGTTTTTTCATAATATGGGAGATGATGGGTTTTCTATGCCATACCAAACTCACCAATTTGAAATCCGCGAATTGTTATGAAAATAGCATTAACAAACACCCTAAATTCTTAAAATCAAAAATTATCTTTTTTCTACCGTCTCATATTAGACGCCAAGCAAAATGGCAGTATTTATGCTTAGCCCATCTGAAAGTCAATTTTTGCATAAAAGCATCTTAAATATTTTGATGATCGGCCTCGATCTTTTGAAGATTTTTTGAACCACGTTTGTTCTCGTTCTAGAAAATCCATTTAATTAAATAAATCGGCACTGACTCACCGTGGCTGGATTATGCCTGCCTCAGAAAATAAACAAGCACCTACACCTTGAAAGCGGCTGCCTCCTTCCCCCCCATTCCTCGCCATTTTGTTTGCCCTTTCCCCCAGCATGTGCCCAAAAAAAATTCGCGGGCTCCCCCCTAGTCGTGCCGGCAATCCATTCGGGTGTCTCCTCGTTTTGTCCTTGGTTTCTTTCCTGCAACATCCATATATTTTCGCGTCTGCTTGGATCCAATCCACTATCCATTCGACTAGATCCCAATATTTGGGGGAGGGGGAGATCCCGCTTATCAATCGCCCGCCCCAAAACAACCGCTTCCTGCCCTCTTCGGGAATCCGTTGGCTGCATATAGACAATTAAATAACGATTCTCTAGCATTTTTAGCATTATTGTACCGGGTATCAGTTTAGCTTTACATCGTTTTTTTGCATGGATTCGTTGATAATTCTATATTCGGCATTTTACACAGGAATAAACCCGGTTAGATAAAGGACAGTTGTTAGGCTTTTTTTGCCGGCTGATCTAATAAATAGTGGGTATATGTAATAACTCGATGGTGCTTAAATTTTGTTTTTCATCACATTTAAAATTTTTACTGAATAACTATGAAATTTAGCTACATGAAATTTATACAATGAGCCCTAAAGTCCTAAAAATAGATGTATCTATCGCTCGTTCTCTCTCGCACTATCTCTCTCTCTATCTGACTCTCTATCTCCTATTCTCGAGCTTTCAATAGTTGTTTCAATAGGATCAAAGGTTAGCTGACACCCTTCCTCTAAACTACCTAACGTCATCGCTTCGTCCCCATACGCACTGTCCAATTCCAAAGCATTACTGACGCGACAAGCGAACTTTAGCGCCAAATTTCCAGACGCCGATCGCTTCGTAGGCCATTCAGACGGGGATCATTACCAAAAAGCCCCTGGTAAGGTTCATGGAATTGAAACAATTGTTTCATCTAGCTCGAAGTCGACACGGCGACCACGGACCGAGGATGGGTGAGGAAGAAGAAATCAAGAAGGCATTCATTTAATCACGAAGTAAACCCATTTGTAGGTGACTATTAAAGAAGATGAGTTTGGTGGCCTCCTTGGAGGTATCGCTGGCAATCTGATTAGGGACAAGGTGAGACCAGTTTTTGCTGCTATTAGCAATTTCCGGTTATTCTAAATTTTATGTAAAATTGTTTTATATAAAAATAAAGTAAATTAGTTTAAATCTTAAATAAAAAAAATTGTATCAAGTTTTTAGGTCGGAGGCAATGCTGGCAACATCCTAGGAGGACTTGCTGACAACGTCTTCAATAATTCCGGCGGAAACCGCGGAGGCGGTGGAGGTAATTCTTAAAAAATAATTTTTATAGTCGTCTCTAACCACCCCTTTTTGTTGTAGTACATTTTGTTTACCTTGGTTAGATTACGACACCTCAAACACAACACACGAAAAATCGTCGGGAATCGGCGGTTTTATTGGCGGCATTTTCAAGAAGAAGCAGAAACAAAACACTGGTGACTACATAGCATGAGAACAATTCCCCGGGACATTTCTATTAATATAATACTAATGTAATTTCCTGTTTTTTTTAACAAAAATTGGGACGATGGGGCCGAATTACATTAAATTTCCAGGTGGTGGCGGTGATATCGGGAATCTGATTGGTGGCTTCCTAGGCGGTGGAGGAAATAGCGGAGGTAATTTTACAAGGGAAAATGGCGAAACTGAATCAGGAAATCGCGCACAAGGAGGTGGATACGATGACTACGGTGGCGGCGGAAATCGTGGAGGCGGAGGAGGGTTTGGTGGCTTCGGAGGAGGAGGAGGAGGCGGTGGCGGAGGAGGAGGCGGAGGTAGTAACAATATTTGGCAATCATTTTGCTGTTCTAGGCGGTGGCTTCAACTTTAACGACATTGCCGGCGTCATCAATTCGATTCAAGGCGGCGGTGGCGGCGGCGGCGGAGGAGGAGGAGGAGGAGGAGGAGGTGGATCTGGCGGACCAGGAATTGGGAGCCTGATCGGATCTCTGATTGGTGGCGGTGGTGGAAACCGCGGAAACCAGGATCAATATGGCGGCGGAGGTAAAAGAAGAAAAATTGAAGTTCTAAAACTTGGTAAATTCAGGTGGCAACATCAATCCAAACAATCTGAATGGAGGCATGGTGAACATCATTGGAAATTTGATCGGCGAAGCGGCTCATCGCTTCCTCGGGGTTGAACCGGCGACGGGTCGTATTATCGGTGAGTTATAGCTTGGCGCTTATAACATTAATTCTGCAGGAGCCATCGCGGGCAACGTTATCTTCTCCCTTGGTGGCAAAGACAACAACCTGGGCAACATCGGCAAAGTCATCCTCGACAATATCATTTCCGGAAAATTCCGCAGAGATGTAAGGGCGAATGTGCCGTATCTAATAAGTATTTAGGTTGATCCGTTCGTGCGCCCGGAGCCCTCACCATTCCCATCCGGTGGAGGTGATGGAGGTGAAACTACAAAGCTTTTGACAAGCCCAAATTCTTAGGTGGTGGTGGCGGACCCGTTCGCCCAGCACAAGGCTTTGAGCCGATTGACTTCTATGATGAGCGTGACAAGTGTCTTCAGTCAAAGAAGCTGTTTGAGGATCCTCACTTCCCGGCTCAAGACTCGAGCCTTTTCTTCTCGAAGCGCCCACCAAAGCGTATCCAATGGCTTCGGTGCGTTTAATAGACAGTTGAATTTTACTTTATTTAGACCAGGAGAAATCTGTCAAGAGCCACAGCTTCTCGATGAGGGTCACTCTCGTTTTGATGTGATCCAAGGAGAGCTTGGAGACTGCTGGCTTCTGGCTGCAGCTGCCAACCTCACACTCCGTGATGAGCTCTTCTACCGTGTCGTCCCTCCAGATCAGTCGTTCACTGAGAACTATGCCGGTTTGTGTCGCCCCTAATTTCTATTTATTCTTCCAGGTATCTTCCACTTCCAATTCTGGCAGTACGGCAAATGGGTAGACGTTGTCATCGATGATCGGTAAATTAAAGGCAACAATTTTGAATCGTAATTTAGTCTTCCCACCGCTGATGGTGAGCTGCTCTACATGCACTCGCGGTCAAAGAGCGAGTTCTGGAGCGCCTTGCTTGAGAAGGCGTACGCCAAGTGGGTTTTGACATTTTTAGCAGCTATTTTTTAGGCTTGCCGGCTCATACGAAGCGCTGAAGGGCGGTACCACCTCAGAAGCCCTGGAAGACATGACCGGCGGTCTTACCGAGTTTATTGATCTTCAGGATCCGCCTCAGAATCTGATGCAGATGATGATGAGGTAATGACAGTCGTATGTGCATATTTAATTGAGCGATTTCAGGGCTATGGAGATGGGCTCGCTGATGGGCTGCTCCATTGAGGCTGACCCGAACCAGTGGGAGGCCAAACTTCCCAATGGGCTCATCAAGGTGCAAAAATTGCCTGATTTCATAAACCTGAAAGCTGCCGACAAATCGAAGCAATCGTTAATTTCAGGGTCACGCCTACTCAATCACGGGCATTCGCAGCGTTGACGGGCCAGATGGTCAGGAGTGTATTCTGCGTGTGCGTAACCCCTGGGGTAATGAGGCCGAATGGAACGGACGCTGGTATATTTTGCACCGGAGCGTCTTTTATACAATGATCGTTTTTTATTATACAACAAAGTTTGCGTTTAAGGTCCGATAACTCCCGTGAGTGGCGATCGGTGTCAGATCAGATAAAGCAGGATATGGGTCTGAAGTTTGACCATGACGGAGAGTTCTGGTATGCGTTAAAAAGACTATTCTCCCACTTTTAACGGTCTCTTAATGAACATGCAATGCACCAAAAAATCTGTCAATTACATAAAAACATTTAAAATTGCAGGATGTCCTTCAATGACTTCATGAAGAACTTTGAAAAGATGGAAATCTGTAACCTGGGCCCAGATGTAATGGATGAGGTCTACCACATGACCGGTGTGCGAGCTGCGGCAAACACGTGGGCTGTAAATAACCATGATGGCGCCTGGATCCGCAACCAAACGGCTGGTGGATGCAGGAATTACATTAGTAAGTCTTCCACCCGGCACCTGGAGCAACAATCAAACCACTATGCATAGACCTTTACTTATTTTTGTTTAGACACCTTCGCCAACAATCCTCAGTATTTGATTGAACTGAAAGACTCCGACCCTGACGACGATGACGAGCTTTGCACGGTAAGTGTTCGGAGATTTGGAAAATGGCTCTTTCTAGGTCATCTTCGCCGTGCTCCAGAAATACCGAAGGAACCTGAAGGCTGAGGGTTTCGACAACGTGCCGATTGGTTTTGCCGTATATGATGTTTCGGTGAGTTTAGCATTAGGATGTCCTTGGTATCGACATTTTTCAGAGCTCTGGAGCGCGTGGAAAGATGGCAAAGCAGTTCTTCCAAGCTAATAAATCAAGTATGAGGAGCCCAGCTTTCATCAATCTGCGTGAGGTCAGTTTTTCAGATAGGAGTGTCGTAATTAAAGAATATCACGATTCGTGTCATGTTTTTAGATGACCGGCCGATATCGTGTACCCCCAGGCCAATACCTCGTCGTGCCATCCACCTACGAGCCCAATGAGGAAGCCGAGTTCATGCTCCGAGTCTACACAAATGGTTTTATTGAGAGCAGGTAGAACTGATGCCTGCTAAACCAATATTATATTTTATCTCTAGTGAATTGGAATAATCTCCGCCAACGCCTCAACATTGCTGCTTACGTCCACACAACGACACTACTTGAAATGAAATTTACCTGCGTCTCTTGCTGCTACGGCTTGTAAACCCCCAAGGCTTTCAGGGCTGAATAAAACAATGCGTAATAGTTTTCAATTTCGTTTTATCTTGACACAGCATCAGCAAACTTCTCCCAGATCTCTCGATCCCTGACGCCTAAACGAGTGCGATCTTGCTCGGAACGTTACCCTCTCCCAAAAACCATAGCCCTTCAGGCAGCCCCCGCAAAAATTCGCCCAGCTTTGTTCTACTCAATGAATATTTAACAGGGGGGGGGGGGCTGAAACGCGCGGCAAGCTGTGCCGAATCCGCGTGTTATTAGCATGCTATATTTACGGCATTTTAGCATGCTTTTAAAACGGAGTTCGTGTTTCGGTGGAAGAGAGAGTATGTTGGGCGTTGAACCTGAAGTAATATTTTCGGATGGAAAATTCATGAGCCATTAGCATGAATTGGTAGGCGGTGTGTATTTTTTTGGACGTTTGAGAGCCGGAAGTAGGCCGAATGCAAAGGGCATATGTGCTGTAAAACGTTCAGAAATTAGTTTTCCTCAGATAAATTCGATTTTTCAAACTTTTCGAAATAGATGACCTGCTCCTCACTGGTCAAGCAATTTCCTTCAAAAAGTTGCATCCAAAACATCCGCTCGATTCGTAAATGTTTTCTTTGAAGTGCAAAACAGCTGTGGTCTGTTCGCTCTTCTCTCCCCTCCTAGCCCCACCGGATATTTGCGTCCCAGAGGTTTTCTTGGTAGCCGGGGGCATCTTCGGGGTGGAATGTGATTAGAACGAATGTCTAGGTAAGAGCAGGAGGAGAAGAGGAGCGAAGATGGGGATGGAGAGAAGCTTCAAAAGCATCCATCCGGTGGGAATAACGTCACCAAGGGGGATTCCCCCCTAGGCGCACATCCTTCACTTGTCCAAGCTGGATCACTCATAAAAAGAGGGTGGCTTGTTCCCGTCCATCTTGTATCTCGTCCACAAATCGGCTTTTCGCCATTGAAAGGATGAAACACGTGCTTTGGATCTTGGACAGACTATAGAAAGGTGTTCGGCTTCAAAAACCATAGAGTATTTTTGTACTTAAAGTTCCAGAAAGTACCTTATCGGACGATGCTGTTGATTGCACCGAAAAACACAAAATTAGGCGAGGTCCTTTTCGACTACCGTTCCTAAAACTTCCATGAGGTACCCTATAAAAAGAGCTTGTTAATTGCGCCCAAAAATCAGAATTAAACAAGAAACACTTTATTTCATCGAATGACGCGTATCAATGGTGGCTTAGAAAATTGTTTTGTCCACCGTTTAATTCTCATTGGAGTCGGAGAGTTGGTTTGGGAAAGATCGGGCTCCACCACGGATGAATCTATCTGAAAAATCAGTCTTATATTAGACTTTCCAACCTCCGAACAAGCTAGGTAATTTTCATAGCAAAGGGTTTCGAAAATCTTTCAAAGATCTGAAGAATCCACTTCGAAATCCCTTTAAGACAAGCACAAGCAAAACCACTAGGTTGAGCATGTTACAGGACCCAAAACAAAAGCCAAGTTGATAGCATGGAGAAGTTATGGAAACTCACACACAATGCTACACTTCACAGACCAGGAAACGCTCGGGCGCCTCCCCTTCGTTCTCTCATTGGCATCTAAAAATAAAGATGCATTCTGACGAGATGTGTCTACCTCGAGTCCATTGAAATATTGGCTGTTTCCGTCGCGAAGTTCCACCTAAAGATTCTTAACGTTTTTTCGAGATTTTTTAATGTACTGTGTGAATTCCATCAGCGCCGTCGGCCAGCTGGAACACTCGAGCTCCCCCTCGCGTCTCACGCTCCTGCAGAATTTATGATTTTTGTTGGACAATGGGTTCAGCCATGTGTGTTCGTCTTGCAAAATAGCATCTTTAAGGGCTTGAGAGGGATGGGTTTTGAGCAGGAATGTTTCTCTTTCTCTCTCTCACACGCCAAATAAAGTTTATACTTTTTAACTAACCATAAATCCCCGTCCACCGCCTCGCTTGAAAGCTCGCGCTCCTCCTCGTGTCTCCATCCGGAATCCTTGGAAGCCTGGAAGTTTTTTGACTCAAGAACCCCCGAGTCGTTCCCTCACCTCGGCCTCCACCGCGTTTCTCCTCTTCCAGCAGGCTAAACCCACGGCCGCCTCCGCGTTTCTCCTGAATTTCGGAATGAGATGCAAATAGGCTAAGGCTAAACTCACCAAATACCGCACCATAGCATCCGTGTCCAGCTGATCGTCGGCTAGCGCCAGAAGGACTACTGCAAAAACCAATAGAGTAGGATAGGATGGAATTGAATAGTGAAGCTTCGTGGGCGAATGGGAATCTATTTCTGGTCCTACCCATTAACGCCTGCCGGCGGTTTGCATAAACGATCTTCGTTCAGGAGCTTTTTGGGATTTTCGAGCATCTTTTCTAATAGACACTCCGGATTTTCACACTTTATCCCACTGAAGACCGGCACCGCATGGTAAACCCAATTTGCTCTTCCTTCAAATCAGATTCACCTGACCAAGGGTAACAAGGGAAAACCGACTTTTCCTATTGCGTGGGCTCGACCCTTTCAGAATTCGCGTGAAACTTCTATAGTTCCGTATCGCTTCGAGATCTATAAGGAAATTGAATCCCACGCGTAGGCTAGTTAGAGGGGATGCTGACCGAAAAAGACCTGGTCATTCACCTTTGGAAAGAACTCCAGGGCATGCATTAGTGCAAAGCAAAATGAATTTGAAAGATTTCGTTATTAAGCCACCGCAAGGGAGGACGCGTATTGTCAAAACTTTCTAAAACCCAGATTTTACTTTGTTCTCCATTTGGGCCTAGGTTTTTATGGTCTTTGGCCTGGCTTCCAGCAAAAGTTCATTGACGCAAGGTTCCTTTTTACGCCTCATTCTACCTGCTTCCACACCCGGTGCCTATTAACCGCTTGAACAACCCCCGGAAATCCTGGATCAACCATATTCGAGTTTACAAATTCCTGACCATTATCCCAAAAACTTCGAAGGCTATTTTCAGACGCTCGCCAATTTGTCATAATGCAACCCCGCTGAAGATGCTCTCTGGGGACACTTTTCCTAGAAATGGATGGCTTTGACCAGCAAGCGGCTTTGGAAACGACCGGCTTATAAACATAAATATCTTTAGAATTGGCTATTCAAAGTTTTTGTCTTTTTGCTGGGAACTAGGATACCGGATGGATACTTGCAAATGGACCAGACCAGAGGACCAGAGACCTAAAAATGGATTTAGTAGGCTTCGAATTTTGATTTAATGCCGAATTAAAGCTACGCATAGTCTGATGTCGTCTTCAATATCGCCCTATAGGAAGCGAAAAAAATTCTAATTCCAAAAAATTCTAATTCCGGATTTATTTTAGACCCTCCTCGATTCTCAGCGAGCATCACCTAAATAATTCAAGAAAAATCTCCCGCCCAACCACCAAAATATCCATAATATTTCTCTCTCGCAACATATCACTCCTACGCTCCTGAAAATACTCTGCCGACTGCATTACGAAGAACTCGAAGTTCGGGTTAAACGGGACCGTTGAATGAAATGCTACGACGGGTGTTGTTTCCCCGATAAATTCAATTTGTGACCGTAATGAGGAGCGCAAAGGTTACTCTTGTTTGGCCAACGCCGGGTGGCTGGATTGTAATCCGTTAGCTAAAATCGCTCTTCATAATGACTGTTTTTGCCTTGGAATTTAATTTCCGGCTGTCACGGATTATTTGTCTTTCGAAAACCCGCAATTTGAATGGCATGGATGCACTGATATTTTCTCGGAATGTCAACGGGTGGCACTCTATAGGATCCCCGGAACGAAACGAACCGATGTTCCCCGTAGTTCCAGTAGGCGGAAAAATGGGAAATTGTTTACGGGCAAGCAGTTGGCTGGTGGAAAAGCGCTTAAAATGGAAGAAGTCAATGGTGAAAAGGATGAGCTGCGGGGGACGAAACCAATTATCTTCAGTAAAAAAAGACCACGCGGTGGTGGAGATACCTAGTGACCTTAGGGTTGAAGAAGTGCTGCGTAATGTATTTTGTATTAAGATCGGGGAAAAGGGATTAGGGAGAGTGAGATTAATTTAGAAGCCACGTGTGGTGGGGTTTCTTAAATTAGAAATTCTGGCTCTGTCAACCTAGAATGTTAGTGTCAGTACTGTGAAGAGCAGAGTAAAAATACAAACTGGAAATGAAAGATCCAGCAATACTACATAACTTATTTAAAACAACTTAAGCTTGCCGCGGGGTTTTGTGAGGTTCTACAAATTGATATAACCGTTTAATGATGACTACCGTTTTTACTATGACGTAATATACAAACCTGCAGAGACGAGAAGAAGAAGCTGTGTTAGGTTAGGCATGATTGCTGTTCGATGAGGGCAACTAGTGACCATCAGGTGGGCCCTTCACAACCTCGAAAGGGGGCGGTACCAAAAGCTCGCCCTCCTCCTCCTCCACCCACCACCCTCCTCTCTTCCTCCCCTCCTCTATTTTCTCCTACACCATCCATTTTAATGTAACATTTGAAGCCGATTATTTGCGAAAAATGACGAGTAGCCAATTTGGGTAATTGACGGGTTGGTTAGATTAGTGGTGTGGCTTGCGTGGGGGTTAACCGACCTATGGCGACACCGTTTGGAGCTGACTACCGTAATCCTGCGGCGGATTAAGCGGCGCCTGGGATTTGTAAGCGCTGGAGAATCACTGCTCGTTCTTACGAAGGCTCAATCCGCAGATATCAAAAGAAATTCTTGTCAATAACTGAAAAGCAAGATAAATTTATTAAAAATGGATGAAAATCAAGAAAAGTTTTCCGCTTCTAACTCTTTGCGAATTTGGAAGCTACGACAAAAATCACAGCCACGGCTTTGGTATTCATTAGTATCGACGATACATAAATTATAAGCAATGACCCCGAGAAGGGAACCAGCTAACGGACCAGCGACTAATGTCCACAGGTAGAAGTTATCATGACTGAAACTTGCAGCTGATTTAAGATTTATAATGAGCTAAAAGCAAAGTTGAACACTTTTAGGCCTACCTGAAGATGTCATCAGCATACCCCAGAAGATAAGCAACAATTCTAGGCCCAACTTCACGGGCCGGATTCAGCGGACAGCCGGTATTAAATCCGAAAGAGCTACCTTCAATAAACGTTTTTTTAAATAGTATTGGTTCTATACTTACCCAACATCATCGCATTCAACCCGAAAAGAAGTGGAACGGCCTTTGGTGGAATTGGTGTATTTTCTCTTGAAACCATTGCGATGAACATGCCAAGGAATGAAGTACCAACAAGCTAAAAACCAGAAAACATAAATTGTCACCTTAGACCCTTCATTTTTTTTCTTAGAAGTTTTTAAACCTTACCTCATTCAAAAATCCGCCCCAGTGCGTAAGGTGTCCAGCGGGCATCGAAACGAAAAAGGGCTTTAGGTCCACAGTTGCAAAGGTGGCATTTTGGGTGAGTACCCATTCTCCGATCGCTTCTAAACATCGGATCAACTACAGTGAACGTTAAAATGGGTAAATTCCATGGAAAAGGGCGCTTGTCTCGTTTACCGCGATAAACAGCCAGTGCAATTAGCGACCCAATCGAGGCGCCGATGATTTGAGCTAGAAAATATCCGCATAGCTCGAAAAAGGTTAGCTTTTTCAACCACCATTGTGCAATAGAAATTGAGGGATTTATGTGGCCACCTAAAGATCGATTGTATTGTTAATCTGCCGGTGCAAGTTTTTTAGGTCTTCTGCAAGAAATGCCATGGCGGTGTTTATTAGCTTCGTTTTGGGTATGGCTTATTGTTTTTTTGGGAAGCAAAACGCATCATCTGATTAGGGTAAGGCTATGGTTGGTTTGATTTTGCAGAGATGAATAAAGATAAATAAAGAGAGAAATCAAGAAATTAATGGAAAAATCTATGATTAGAATCATAGATATACCAAATTTAAGTAGTAAAAGTATTAGGCTCTTTTTAATTTAATAAACTGACCTGAAACATTAAATGCTGCATAAATAGCAAATGTTATCGCAAAACCCCATGCCAAATTGACCATCCATAGTGATGAGGCCGTTCCATTCGAAAGCATGTACTGGCCTGTAGCGCAGATTCCGACCGACTAAACCGACATTTCAAACTTTGAACTAAAATAACGTCTTCCAAAGCACCGGTGAGCTCTCATAACGTAGCCTACCACCATAAATGCCGTCGCATAGATCTCTGATAACATTTCCCTCCAAAATCGAATCTTCGTCATTATTGGATATTCCGTGATAAATAATATTAAAATGATTTGTGATACGATTTAATCGTTAGTCGTATAAAATAAGTAGAGAAAATAAAAGTTCCGTTTGGTAAGCAGACAGTCCGTTTTCATTTCCTATCCCCCTCTCCGGAACCCCCCCCCCCCCCCCCATCATCACATTGGGCACCCAGCCGATTATGGATGGGGGGGGGGGGACAACCACTGCAAAAAGAGCACTAACAACAGCCACTCGCTCCCCTCGATCATTATACTGCACCTAGCTGCATTAACTAAAAGAAGTAGTATAAAAAATATAATACTAACAAGTTGCTGGTAAGTGGCAAGCAAAGATAAGGCAGAATACCTGCGAAAAATGCAATTTGCCACTCATCCAATATCCTGCAATTAACTTTCCTCAAGCTCGGCAGCTTGCTACAGCAAATACTCAAAAAGTGTGTTCTAGATGTTATACGCGTTTTCTGGAGCCTTAAAAATACTGTACCGTGAGGTGGCTGAATAATATGAATGGGTGTGGAAAATAGTTTGGGTGCGAATAGATCTGCCTGATTGGCTTGTGAAAATTGTGGAAAGGGGTTTTCTAACAATTAAATGCTGTTTACCAATTATCCAACGGCTAAAATAAATTTATCAATGCAATGTTTGTAGGGATTCGTTTTAAACGTAAGTTGCCCCTGGCGAAAACTATAAGTGTAGGCATGAAAAATCCGGAAAAATCATTTTCTGATTTTATTTTCCCTCCAACAACCATTTCAGGTGTATTATTTTCAAAATATCGTGGTTCAGAATGTCGACATTTCATATTCTCGAAATATGACCATGTCGACATTTCATGAATTTCGATATTATGATAGCAAATCCTTTCATGCTGCCGCATCAGTTTCATATTCCAAGCTGTCTTTTAGCGGCACTCCCGATGCAACACAGATGGTCGAGCCGCGAAAACGAGGGGGTGGAGATGGAGCTCTAATCTGGGAAATTTGATTGTTGCCACGAATTTCGTCTCCCTCGAGGGCTCCAGCGCCAAAACGCTTCTTCCATTCCTTCTCGCGAGAAGAGGGCTTCGCCACTGACGTTGCATTTCGAGGCATGAAATCATAGCGTTCTTATAATTCTCGATAAAACTTGGTCTCCGGGGAGTTCCTGACTATTCCGGGATGCTGTGGGTTTTCTGGAGGAAGAGTTTCCATCATCCGGCCAACTCGTCCAGACGGGAAGTCCCGCGTCCGTTTTTACGTACTTTGGTATTTTAACAATCAGCTAGCAGCTCAATGACGTCAACGATCACATGGGCTAACTTACCAAGCCGCCACTGCTGGCCATTTTATCTTGAAGTGAAAAATATGAATGGGTCTAAGGGGGCCAAGGGGTCCCGTGCGGAAATCCAATTAGTTCCGCCGTTTCCAGCCAACCCCTATCACCTCATTTCCACCGCGTTTCTGGGTGGCCGGCAGTCTATTGACACATTTTTAGCAACATCCATGCTAATTGCTATATTCAGGCTATAACGACCTAGGAAAGCCATTCTAAATTTTCGGTTTGTCAAATTTAAGCTGTAATTTATTTTAATTTTTGAAGATATTCTACAATTTTACAATTTTGGAAGCCGAAGGAGGCTTTAGCTAAAAGTTATACGTCCACGAGGCCGGACATCGTATGAAATATATATTTAATTTGCATGAGTGCAAACGTGGAGAGATTGGAGACTTCATATCCATGACGTCCAAAACACACATTCCTTTAAAATGTTTTTTTTCCTTGATGTTTTCTACTATTTTTACGCTACACGTGATATTCCCCCTTTTTGCGCAGCGCTAAGTTGAGTTCAACATTATGAGTGCAACGAGCGCTAGGGGGTCATCAGAATTGCGGAGAGAATCGAATAATATTTGGGAGTCGACTCAACAGGGGCCCAGAGCAGCAGTGTGGATTGTCGGAAGCCGCGTCTCGGTGGCAATTTCCTCAGAACCGCCGGATTAGCACATCGATCGCCACATCTTGGGCCCACTCGGTTCATCTGCGCGGAAAACTGATGTCCAGGCTCCGGATTTTGCGAGAAACCTCCCACTCGCTTTTTGTCTGGTCGGGGTGCCGTGAATTTTGGATGGAATTCTCGTTTCTTGCGCGATATCGTATTATGTTTATGGTAATCGTCATTTTGGGGAAAGAAAGCACCTTTAGAGCTACCGTAACACGTGTTTTTCTATTTCTGCAGTATATATAATCCAATTATTAACGGCGGCATAGGAAATCCACTTATCAAATTAGCAAATACTGAATTTTAAAAAATTAGTTTTGAGTATATAAGTAGCCCCTTCTGTGTTTGCCGAAAGAAAAATGCTGTTAACACCCTGACATTCATGATTTTTTTTCGCTAGGCAACCTATCTTCAACCTCTTCCTGCGTGATAGATTCGCTTCCCCCCTTGCATACCGACTTCTATGAGTCATTAATTCAGTATCCTTAATCTTCAGCTTACCTCCCCCATAAAACCTCAAAAATGGGCATCTAGTCCGCTGAAATGGGGGATAATAGGGTATGATGGTAATCCAAACCCCGCCTTGGAGATTATCCCCCTCTGGGCATGATTCATCAGATTCCATTGCATTTCCCAACTGAAAACTGTGTTATTTTATGATTTGATTGATTTCCAGATCTTTATTTTTGAACCCGACTGTATTTCAGATGTCCCGTTACTAGTTTGTACTATGGACGCGATCTCGTTGCTGGCCGGGCCGGGCCCTGCCAAACAGGGATTGACGCAGGTGCAGTGTTGAGGCCATTTTTGGGATAATTAGTTGGCCGGACAAATTTCCGGAAACCTCCTGAAAACACTGAGAGGCGTGCAAGGGCTGAGATAGTTGTAGATCAAACCACAAAAAAATTTAGATTTGATGAATAAATGGATGGAAATATTGTGATTTCTAGGACGAATTCGATCAACGATACAACTACCTTCCTCCCCCACTTCATCAATGTCCGGAATCCAGTCAGGCTGGCCAGTGGATTGGTGATGCATTTCGAGAAAAGACAAAATGGGACCGAACGCGGGTACGTTTAGAAGTAGGCCGATACTTTTACCTATCGTTTCCCAGATTTTCGACGTCTTTCCATCACTACAGTGGATCTCCCGATACAATCCAAAAGCTGAACTTCCACGTGACATTCTTGGCTCACTCTTGATAGCAGCTCTCCTAATCCCACAAGGACTTGTTAGCGGCCATCTAGCCATTGACGACCCGATTCGAGGTCTATATTCTGTATTCTTCCCTCAATTACTGTACCTACTGCTTGGATCATCGAGGCATTCGTCGATCGGTAAGTAAAGCCACATGAAGTAGACATCAGCCCAGGTGGTGCTTCATTTGTCTCGCTATTTGTCGCCTCCTCAATTCAACATTCTGGTTCCGACCTTGCGACGATCACTCTATTATGTGCATTCTTTCATGTGGGTTAGCCATTTGGCGCTAGTAGGTGGATTTAGATACTTTTCTGGCTTCTACCAGCTAATTGGATCCTCCCCATGGTTCCTGATTTTCTACTAAATGGAGCTTATTTGGGGCTGCTGATTCGATTAGTTATTCATCAGCTGCCGCACTTTTTTGTGTTCACCGATCCAAGTTGCAGTGAGGGATTCTGGGTTGGTTTTTATCAGCTCGGTATTTGGAATGAGCATGAGAAGAATGTCGCATAGGAGAGGCTTCTGCTTTACGTAGATTTATATGATTTTGTAGATGCAAAGCACTAATTTCGGAAAAAATAATTATCTAGGTTGCGCACTCAGTTAGAACCTATTAGAATTAGCATCCATTCATATACCTCAAGCGCATGGCTTATTTCTTTGGATGGTTCCGTGAATATACAGTGTGTTCGGTGGGCCTGGAGCTGCGTGACATCGGCCTCCCCCTGGACGCTACTACTTGGTGGATCCGTGCTCACACTTTCTGCCCTCTTCCACCATGTCATTAATCCGTCTGCCCTTGAGCGTCTACACTTTACGATTCCGCACGAAATGTTACTGGTAAGTTATAATGTTACATATTTCAGAGTTTTATTCAAATACATCTAAATTTTCCAGATCCTAGCCAGTATCCTCCTCTCCTACACATGTGATTTGGGCGCACATGGAATCAAAGTTCTACATAAAACATCCATGGTGTAGGTCCAATTAAAATCTTTATAAAAAGAAAATTGTAGTCCCCCTGCAATAGAAGCTCCCCGATTAGCCACATTTTTCGAGCGCTCTGTATTGGATAGTTTCTCCTTAGCGTTATTCCTCTTGGCCTCTCATCTAAAGACTAGTCGTGAGGTAGCAATGGAAAAGATGCAAAAAGTGGACCGGAAGCAGGTTAGCTTAAACGTTCAAAACCAAGGTACGGTGTTTAGGAAGCCGCGGCTTTTTCGCTAGTCGAACTTCCGCTCGCGTTTTTGAATCTCCCACCAGTAGCTTCATCAATCGGTCACTCTCAACTCAACGTGGAAACAGCCAGGTTTTCATTGGTAAGCTCGACCTCCAGTGTATTTATTTTTATTTATTTTAGCTTGCCAATGCCCTTTGTTGCGGGTGGTTGCTGGCATTTGTGGTATTCTGCTTGCCGATTCTTCACTACTTGCCTACGGTAATTTAGAAAATGAAAGCATCTAGAGGTATTTTAGGTAGTCTTAAGTGGTGTGCTGCTACTATGCTTTTCCAATGTTCCTGTTGAGCTAGTCCATCTACGCCAGCTTTATCGGGTCTCGAAAAGAGATTGCGTAGGTTTTATTCTCTCGAACACACATTCGGGTTTTAGGTTGCATACCTTCTATCAGCCGTCACCCTACTCGTCATCCCCAATATTTGTTTCGGGTTCCTGTGCGCTATGGCCCTCAATCTATTCCTTGTGGCACATCGTAGTCTCTGGTAGGGAAATTAATCATAAAAAATTTTTTAAACGTTCCAGGCCGCACACTTGGGCGATAATTCGTCTTGATTCTGATGGGCGTTTCGCAGAAGAAAGCCGGTTTGATGAACTTGACACCCTACATAAATGATTTTTTTTAGATACGAGGGTGATCCCTGTGACGCTCCGGCCAGGGTGCTGCGTTTCAATGCCCCATTGGTACGTCCATGAATGTTCCGTCTGATCGCATATCACGTTTAGCTCTTCGGCAACGTTGATAAATTCCATGAAAGTGTGCGTCGGGAGGTGAAGCTGATAAAAGGGTATGCTGGTGTCAAAATTTCAAGGACCAAATTTCAGGCAAGTCCCTCTTGGGATCGGCACCAGAACCGGAAGTCTAAGAAGTCAGATTGGTGCCCTTGGAGATGTTCTACCCCACAAAGGAGTATGAATCTCGTTCAGTTTTGACAAAATTATTTTTAGGTTGAGGTGCGGCTCTCTGCACCGTTAGAGGCCCGTTTATCGCTCGTGCAGAGCAAAACAAATTTGACGAACTTTGTGATTAACGATCCTCAGGTAAGCCTTGAAGCTATTTGGCTTTTGGCTGACCAAAAATCTTTCGATCCAGAACCAAATCATCGGCGGCGACCAGCCATTAATTCGTTGCCTCATCATCGACTTTAACACAATACCAGCTGTCGATTCTCATGGGATGCATGCCTTGAATCAGGTACATTCATGGTGTTCCATTTTCGAACGTTTGAGTTTTAAGGTGTACTTTGAACTCCATGAACAGCAGGTCAGACTGTTGCTTGCTGCTGTTAACGGTAAGTTTACTAGCGTTTTCTCGGTAGTTTAGTTTTAGCGAAAGTACGCGATTCGATGCACGCAGCTGGGATTTTCTCACTTTTACCAAAAAATTCTTTGTATCCTACGCTGAACGATGCTCTATTGGCTTCGAGGGCTATGGTGATGCCAATTCATACCAGGTAAGTACGATAATATTATCTTGACAACGATAGGTATTAATTTCTCAAATGGGCAGGAAATAAATACCAGAATCCGTACTTTAATCGGTACTCGTATCCAAGTTATTGGTATGTAATAATCAATTATTTCAGTGTCTCAATGAACGGCTGTCGAGATGTGATTGCTGTCTCAGCTTGCGGATCTCATTTCGATGTAGCAACGATCTGCACGAATCGAGATAATGACTCGAAGGGAGAGCCAGCGCAAATATGACTAGGCCTGTCTAATTGTCCATCACCTTGCCCCTCCGAAGTACATTTGTAAAAACTCATAACCTTTTCTTCGGCCTTTTATCTTTTTTTGGCTATTCCCCGAGTGGCAATACCTTCTTGGATACGCTCATACCAAATTCTTTATTTTTTTTATCTTGAATTGTCTGGATATTTGTGCAAAATGAGGATTACGGTGATGATTCGGCGTTTCGGCGTTTTGTTGAATGAACCAAAGATTCTGAGTTCTTGTTTTTGCTTTTTGTGTACGTTTTTTGAGAATTTGCTACTACGATGCGGTCGATAAATGTATAATTCGGATGTCAAAAACCTATAAAAGAATAAGAATTTAAAATAAGAATTAAAAATCTTAGCGTTTTTGGAAAACCTCTGGAAATCCTTGCGGAACTAGTATTTCACCCCATATCCATTTCCCAACATACTTAAAATTCTTCCCAGCAGATAGCCATGCTTCCAAGATAATATTTTCATGTTCCCTTTGACGTCTGGGACCGGGGGCCTGGTGGTGGGAATGCTGCTGAATCTTAAATGGCCGCTTCCACCACCACCCATCGATTGATCGAGGGCCAAACGTCTTTCTTACAAATCGCATGGAGTGGCATTCTATAGACAATGACCGGCCAAGATTATCCAAGAGATAATAGGCATTCCCGCTTTTCCTGTTACACTAGCTAGTTGTGTGTTTATCCTTATTTTCTTACCGTCCAGCATTGAATTTCATTTCTTTAGCCTTTAATTTCAGATCAGTATTATCGTCAAGCTCCAATATGACGACTGATGATGTTCCTGAGATTCCCACGGCCCGAAAGGCTGTGGTACTAGAACCTGTCACATGGCTGCAAAGTATTTTGGCGCGGAAAGCAAATTGGTGGATGTGCGAAATTGATATGGATTATATTATGGATCCATTCAATGCGGTTGGAATCGATGAGCAGGTCAGTTTTTGATAATATCGGGAGGGGGGGGGATGCCTTGTTGTTGTGCACTTGGGAACTGGGCTGTTCTGTCATTCTTAGTCGTCTGTAGACTTTGGAAAGTTCAATCAGCTTAAATTATACGATTTGTGCTGCGATTTAATTCTATGAATCCTGTTTTCTTGGACCTCCCGATGTTGACATTCCGTGGCTGGCCAGCTGGAAGGGAGAAGGAGAAAGCTCAGCTGGGATGCAAAAAAATCGGGCAGGGGTTATTTGAAAGCAGCTTCACAGATAAAAAGACGAGTATTCTTTTAAATAACGACATTTTTATATCCGTTTTAGGTTTCACTGGCTCGATCCGGGTTGGCCCTCCTTAGACGCAGGGATCGTCCAATTGATAAAATTGCTGATGACCTGGCAGCCGATGCTATAAACGTCTATGGGCTGCTGCATGCTAGATACATTTTGACGAAAGATGGCATTCGCAAGATGATGAACAAAAACCTCAGGCGTGAATTTGGATGTTGTTCGAAGGGTATGAAAAGAAGCTAGCAGATAGCTTCCCATAGTCTTTTATTAACTATATTTATTTCTATATTGCTAGTTTTAGTTGGATGCCAAATGGAAGCCCTTTACCCAACCGGGCTGTATGATGAAGTCGGCCGATCAAGGGTGAAGCTATATTGCCCGAGGTGTCGTGAGCTCTACCATGCCGAAGCAAACGTCACCCTTGATGGTGAGTTACTTTTAAAAAATTTGAGGCACAGAAACTTTCAGGAGCATTTTTTGGAACTTCCTTCCCGCACAACATATATTTTGAACGTCGTGACCTACTGCGTCCAACGCCGATACACATTGTTTTGAAAAAGTATGCCGCTTAGCGTATTCGTTTTGAAAATTAGAAGTGCACATCCTTTTTAGACCGTTTCAGGTAGTAAACTCCGAGAATCAGTCAAGACGCCGTGTAGTTGCAGCGGAACAGAGGCTGGCCCTGGGCCATGCTAAGTAAAAACCAGATCACTTTTGAACCCGTTAATACGCTTCTTTATATGTGATCACTTGCACGTGTTCGCCCCTTCATATCTCTCCCAATTGCATCTTTGACTTCTCCTAAAATAAGTCCAAAACAAATGAAATCCCCTAAACTTCTAGAGATTGATAGTCATTGCTAAACATTTGCTCCGAAACACCTAGCCCTCTCGTCAAACACTGGTCTTAAGAATAAATTTAACTTATTCAGTGAGCCGAGATACAGATCAAATAATTAAAGGGATACACAATCAACACGTTAATCGTTACGCCTCTGGACGGACACCCTCTGGAAAAAACGCCCTCTGGATAAGACACCACCCTCCACAAGGGGCGTAGCCAGAAAAAAATTTTCGGGGGGGCCCAAAAATTTTTCCAAAAAATTCAAAAGATTAACGAGAAAACAGCGCCGCAGGCAAAAATGTTTGAAAAAAGGTTACATAGCTCTCCAAATAGCCGTGAAAACGTGAAAAAAATAGCGCCGCAGGCAGCAAAATTTTTGAGAAAATAAAATCAGAAGGGTCCCCCCTTATGAAATTTTCGGGCCCCGGCCGATTTCGGGGGGGATTTAAGTTGTTTTCACACAATTTGACACTTATATGATGTCGGGCAAGGTGGGCCGTCGCTTCGGATGAACCCTGGGTAACATAGAGCCTTATTTTTAGGCTCAAACCGGGTATGAGAAAGGTTATTTAGTAATTTAAGGTACATAATAATCAAAGAAAGTTAATTATTACAGGGTATTACATGTCTTTAGCGCTAATAAATTCAAATAAGCTTGCGAGGGCGTCTTTTCCAAGGAACCGTGCCGCGGGCACGGAACAGAATAGCCGCGACGCTCGCCATACGGAGGCCGCGCATGCGCCGGTACCGGCACCCCAGACCGACCATCCCACCTCAGACTCAAATCCATTTGAGGAGAACCAACAAATAATTAGACCCAATTATTGGATATATTTATGCATATGTACTGAATATTATAAATAGAATAATGAAACATTCAAGAAAGGAAAAACATTAAGGCCAAACTAAATAAAGATTAATTCACAACCGACCCGATACAGGAATGGTAATCACAGTGCATAAATAAGAAATCTATGTGATACAAATAGAGAACGGATTTTCCAATAACACGCCAAAAATAATAGAATAGCTAAAAAACAATTCGCATGAAATACAAAATAAGAATTGGGTCAAGAGAGACAGCGCAAAATAAACACGGCCAACAATATCAATGATTATTCAGATCCTCCGTTTCATTATTCAAGGGTACACTTTCAGCTCACCGTCATTGTAGCTGATTTTGTTTTTCCAAATGCCTAAAAATGTAATTAAAATTTGTTAATAATCAAGTAACAAAAAATAAAATTTTGGATTTAAGCTGCTTACCAAGATCGTTAAAAATGGCCCTGTCGAGTTCGCCGTTAACCTTGAACGTCCCGAAGAATTTGGTGTTCTTCAGCGCAATTGTTTCCTGAAAATGCTTGATTATAAAGTTTCTAAGTTCGTAGTTTTCACCTTCAAGAATTGGTTCATTTAGTATATAATAAATACAATGTAGTAGTTCACTCACTTGAATATATTGGGTTGCCGTCTCGGGAGTAATATTCATTCCACTGTTCGTCAACACCAATTTGTTTCCCTCTTGGTTCCTTGCCGCATTCAATTCTCGGAATAATTCATCCGCATCTTCCATCCGTCTCACTTTCTGAAAGAGACAGAGTTAAGTTGAATTGATTAAATGTTCTTACCCCATGAAGGGCGATCCTTTCAGCATCTCGACAGGTTTCCAATTGCAAATATCCACGAATATCCATCCAATCACTCGAAAAACAGTCATCAAACTGGAAAGAAAATTAATAAATTAATTGAACAATCCCTAGGGTATTTTATGAAATTAAATGTCTCAATGGATATAATTGTTCGCTGAATACGTACCGTAACATCCATTGAGCTCGGCCTCAGTTGTTTATACAGTTCCAAAAGGGATTTTTCAGGTAGGCTGCTTGCTTCTACCTAAATAAATAAATATATTTTCATTTGATTTTTGCAACTGAAAATTGTTTTTCTAGGCTAAGTTGCATTCACTATCTTTGATGACTTACAGTAAGATGAGTGGGTCCCTGCTTCTTCTGAGCCGGCGCTTCCCTCAATACATCCGTTACAATATCCATATACCATTCAGGCATCTCATCCTGAATTAAAATATCAAAAATCAATGATATTAATGCTTACAAGTGTCACATTTCGGAGGAAATATTTCCGCAAAATCATCTCCAATAGGATTGGGAACATGTCCATTTTCCAATCATCATTTCCGCTTCCGCCTAAATTATTGTATAAATTATTATTTACAATTAGATACAACCCACCATCATTTAAATATTCGGCAATATCATTGGCTGTGGCCACTGTCTGGCTATGTATCGAAAAGAGGAAATTTCTCGTCTTCTTCGGCCATCCCCAATCAACTTGCACTTCAATATCTCCAGCATCCTAAGAATAAATTGGAAAATAATTCGAATAATAATTACCTGGGCAACAATTTCGAGATCAGACCATTGTCTCTGTAATTTCGAGGTATTCGCTTCAAGATGGGCGTTTAGATTCCTAAAAAAAGAGGATGAATCCGGGAAATAATCGATTACCTGTTGACAGCTTTCACTTTATCAATGGAGAGAGGGTCAAGCTTTGTAAGCACTTTTTCCAGCATCACACTTGGCAATTGATTTAAATCAAATTCTGTAAATTCGTGGAATAATGGGTTTGCTGTGATTGACTTACGTTTTGAAATTCGAGAATTGGTGGCGGAGGGTCCAGCAATTTGTTCGACCTCAAAAGAAAGTTTCGGTTTCTTGGCACACGGTTCCGGCATGATTTCTGAAATGATTTGGGTAAGTATTATATTGCAAAGGGGAACCGGAAAGGAAATGAAATATAAACTGAAGAGAGAGAGAGAGAGAGAGAGAGAGAGAGAGAGAGAGAGAGAGAGAGAGATAAGAAATAGGTCCCGAGAAATAAAATAATTGAAGGAAAAATATTAAGTCCGGAAAGAGAATAAGAAGGAAGCGGTAGTAAACCATTGAAGTGACAAGCTTTTGATAGTGGCACACTTTACCAATGTCCATCTGTCATTAGCCAGATGACATTGATAAGTGTGCCACAGGTCAAAAACCTCACTCAACATCTGCCAACGCGTAATCAAAGCCAATCGATATTATTGATTAATTTATTTTATGTAAAACTACCTGAGAAAATCGCCTAAGATATTATAATAAATCAAAGGTTCGACGTAGCGGAAATTATTTTTTTGTTAAGTAAAAATCTGTTGCAAAAAGCCGAGACGTTACGCTAAGATGCGAGATACGAATGAGAAAAAGTGAGCCTGACCACCGCAAAGATGAGCAAAAGGAGCGTGAAAGTAGTTGTTAAACATGATCGATATAAAGCCGTTCTAAATTAAAAAACATATCTTAAAGGGTATTGGTAATTGAATGTGTTGAGAAACCGTTGTAAAAACGAGTTGCTTAGGTCATGCGCCCAGGAACGAAAGCAAAATCCATTTTGGTACTAGACAACTAATCACACACACAGGCCCGTAGCGGAACCGAAATTTCGGGGGGAGGGGGGGGCCAAAAATTTTGGCGACCTCCCCCCCCCCCCCTAGGTCGCCACTTTTAAAACATCCAAAAATCGCGTCAATAATAGCGCCGCAGGCAAAAAAATAGCAAAAAATCGTTTGCTACGCTCAAATTCGTATCAAAACACAGCAGAAAACGCGCCGCAGGCGAAAATTTGTATGAACAATTGATTCACAAATGAAAAACCAGCGCCACAGGCAAAAAATGTTGAAAAAATAGGCTTCATATAAGTAAAAACTGTTTGAAAAACAGTAATAAACAGCGCCGCAGGCAGAAAAATTTTTGTAACTAAAAATCATAAGGGTCCCCCCCATATGAATTTTTCGGACCTCGAACGATTTCGGGGCGGGGGGGGGCCCAGGACCCCCTGGGCCCCCCCCCCCCCCCCTCCTACGGGCCTGCACACACACAACGCTACTTAATAAATTCAAAAACTATTCAAGCAAGATCTAAGGATCTAAGGAATTGAATCCTAGAACGGAACGGTGGTGAACTAACTATAATAAAATGAATAGCTTTAGGCGTCAAGAGTTATCATTGAATGATAAGCAGATGACAGATGTGGTGGCAGTGGGTGAGTTCTGGAGTCACACCCCAAGCCTGACCTTTGACTATCTGGTACTAGACGTCTGCGATCGTAAGATATCCCCAATAAAAAAAGCTTGATTGATTACCTTAATAATTACGCGAATCTTTGGTTAGGGTATATGATGTTGTTTATAAAGACGAACTAAAATGAGATATCTATTCCAAACTCCCAGGCATACAGCTTACCTCTTTTTTTTCTAGGCTGAATCGAGGTGGGAAGGGTAGAGGGACCCCTCGTGCCGGGTTACTATCCCACTTGGGTAATTATTTTTGGTTTGCCAAATTTGCATCCCGCATCAATTTCGACCGGCCCCGAAAAAGATTCGTCATTTTCTACTAGCGCTCGCCTTAAATGGTTGGTCTTTACTATTGGATATTACTGCATCTTGTTGATCAAAGTTAGCGTAGTATCAGCCAGACAGTGGTGCAAGTGTGTGGAGCCCCTTTAGAGATGCAAAATTGGTATTCAAATATGGGATTTTTTCTATCTTTGAAAGTGTAAGGGCAGTCAATTTTTTTTCATTTATGAGCACTGCATTGTGGAAGGAACAAATTTCTAATTAAGCCATTTCAAAAATAAGTGCCCGAATCCGGAGTAAAAGAAACTATCGATTGGCAATTGTGTATAGTTGCCCAACAACGATTTTCGCGCTGTTTCACGAAAAAGCATGAGAATGAATGAATCTTAGTTTTATTCATACTCATTTTATCTAGTTCTTCCAGGCGCTTTGAAGCCGGATCTCAACGA